ATCGATATACAATTATCGAAGGCACTGATATGAGAATCGAAAGGGTCAGGAAAATTTTACGACAATTTAGAACACTCTGGTAGTCGATAAACTGGCATTTGAATGAGATAAAGGCAAAAAAAGTGTTGTATACGCTTCTATGCTAAAAGGATGGTAATTCGAGGTCTCGGAGTGAAAATTTAATTGACTTGGAAATCACAGATGGCGCAGGGGGATTCTAAAGTAAACGTTTGGCAAATGTTTCAAATGTCTGGTAAATATTTCCAAAATATACGATATTCGTTAAATATATAGAAAATATAGGAAAAATATTTTGTGCTACTAGGGAATGTAGGGGACCATTTACGTTTTTAACCCATAATTAACTTAGACGTTAACTTTAACCTACGGTTAATGATTTAACCGAGGTTGGTGGAACCGGGCATTGGCATTTCTTTTTTCTTGATATGTGAGCTGCGTGCTGTGGATTGATAAGTGTAATAATGTTTAGTAACATGTAATTTGGGATTTTCCAGGTGTCGCGAGTGTCAAGCTCCAAAATTCGAGAAATTGGATCGAAAAATTTGGTACCGGGTCGTGGTACCGACATTTTTGGTACAGGGTGGCGACGGCCATGTCACTTTGGCGGAAAAGCATCGAAATCGAGTGGAGGGGCCTTCGGATCTGGATCATATGGAGACGTTTATTAAGAAAATGGATCCCCTTATCTACGGGATAGATTCCCGAATGAATTTTATTGGGTCTTGGTCAGGGATTGAAACTACAGGAGATTTGGAGAAAGAACTTCTTCGGGGTCGATGATATGATAAGCTTTATCAGTTGTCAACCAGACCAGGTGGATCGTTTAAATGAACCCTAGTAGCACAAAATATTTCTCCTATATATTCTATATATTTAACGAATATCCTACATTTTGTAAATATTTACCAGACATTTTAAATATTTGCCGAACGTTTACTTTAGAATATTATCTCTATAATATTTGAATAATATTACCTCCATGTGTTTTCATGAAATTTTTCTACGCAATTTCTTTCAAGTATTTAGGACAATTACATAAATGCAGTCACTTGGTTGATTTAAATATTTGTATTTGCATTTTATGCGCCATCATATTTATTGCATATTCATATTTTTTTTAGATATTTAGGTAATTTAACAGTTTGGTTCGACGAAGATGGCGAGGTCGATTCTTGGGAAGGAAATCCGATTCTCCTGGACGCTTCGATTGAGGAAGGTTAGTAATTGGCATTTATTGAAAGAATAATGAATAATAATTATTCTGAATTAATTTATTATTATCATTGGTATTGCTATTGTTGTTGATGTTGTTATATTTACTTATGTTAGAAGTTTCGTTTCCAACGTCCGCAGCGATCACGCATCGATTGTTTTCTCTTAATTTGACATTTACAATTTTTATGTATAAGTAAGGTTTAACATGCTAATATACTTTGGCAAACATTTATGATCAAAATATTGATAGTTTTAGAATTATCTTGAGAAAGGGCTCAAAAGGCGTTCGAGTAGTTGCTGTTTATAGGTTTTGAAGATTACAGTTAACATTGTTTATTAATGTTTTTTTTTTTTATTAGATCCAGAAGTACTTCAGGCTTTGGAACCGTGGAGGATAGATGTAGATGCTCTTGCAAATAGAAAAATTGGAGCCATCAAAGTCCCTCTTTCCAATAATTGTCGCCAAGCCGAGTGCAATGCAGGGAACTTCATTACCGACGCCATGGTGGACGCCGTAGGCAAAATAACTAAATGAAATATTAAATTAAACGATGAAACATGTACAATCGTTTTTGCCATAGCTTCGAAAATGTAGAGAATTTCATTACCGACGCCATGGTGGACGCCGTAGGCAAAATAACTAAATGAAATATTAAATTAAACGATGAAACATGTACAATCGTTTTTGCCATAGCTTCGAAAATGTAGAGAATTTCATTACAGACGCCATGGTGGACGCTGTAGGGAAAGAAAACTAAATAAAATATTAAATTAAACGATTAAACATGTAGAATCGTTTTTGCCATAGTTTCGAAACCGATTTATATTAATATTCGTTTTATTATTTCAGTTCGTAGACAAGGCAGAGAATGTATCTTCCTGGACTTACGCGGCCATTTCTTGTATGCATGTCGGCGGTTTGCGAAATTCCATTGAAAAAACTTCTGGATTCATAACATTCGGAGATTTGGCCGCCATGTTGCCTTTTGGAGATGTCTGGAACGCCGTTGAATTATTAGGCAGCGATTTATTACAAGTACGTGCATGTAAAATATTTTTTTTTATTCAAAGAAGTCCAAATTGGCAGTTTGTTTTCCGTCTCAGCTCATTTTGAAGAAAGTTATGTTTTTTAAATGCCCGCGGAATTATATTAAAGTGTGCATGCTGTTAATTAATATATGCTGTTAGAAGAAGGTCCTGGGCAAAAGCATTGGAAAATAATTATATGCAATACACACGATTAGGGATTTGTGATGTACTTAACCAATTGCTGCGCGTAAATTTGTTGAAAATTTGCATTCAATTTGAGCATAATTGAGATGACGTAGACATATTGTGTTTAAATAAGTGTGGAATTAAATGCTATTTGTATGCTTATTTGTCTATCTAATCATTAGGTCATAGAAGAAGGGGTGACTGATAGTTTCAGCGAAACGGAATTCGTCGGTAAAAAACTCCTCGTCTGGTCCGGCATTAAAGTCACCTACAATTTGTCTATGCCTGCTTATTCCAGAGTAACCGAGGTTAAAGTTAGGTAAGATACTCTTCAAGATTATTTTTTATTTTATAATCTATTTACTAACAAAATACAATTGGAGAGAAACTCCTCGTCTATCCCGCTCTAAATAAACCCTAGTAGCATAAAATAATTTCTAAATATTTGTTTGTAATCTTTGCTAAATATCTCGAGCGACAGATTTTTTAAGATTTCTTGTAAATTTCATTCGAAGATATCTGAAATATTTGTTGAAACTCTCAATGACATATTCAGTTTTAATAATTTATAAACATATANTATGTTAACAAGTTAAAAAATATAATTTTTATATATGTTTATAAATTATTGAAACTACATGTGTCATTGAGATTTTCAAGAAATATTTCAAATATCTTCGAATGAAATCTACAAGAAATCTTAAGAAAATCTGTCGCTCGAGATATTTAGCAAAGATTACAAAGAAATATTTAGAAATTATTCTATGCTACTAGGGATATGTCGAATCCAAAAACTTGATTAGGTGGTATAACATTTATGCTGCATAGTTACGATAGTCATGTTACTTTGGCGAAGAAACATCGAAATTGCGCGAAAGGATCATCGGAACTTGATAATTTTGAGAAATTTATTAAAAAGATGGATCCCCTTGGTCAAGCGGTTTATTCTTTTCTGATTTTTTTCGAAACATTGATAAGCTCTATCATCAACTATCTGCAGATCGAACCATTTAAGTAATAATCATGGTACCATGATCCCAACATTTTCAACATTTCACTGCAAAATGGCAATGGCCATGTTAGGCGGAAAAGTATAGAAATTATGTAGAAAGACTTTCGAATCCCTATCATCTTAAGAAATTTATTAAAATCATTCCTCGCATCTGCGTGATTGATTATTAACTGAATTTCGGTATTCTCTTTGTCATTTGAAAATGAATGAAAATGTAGAAGAGTCAGTGAAGGTAAATCTGCAGAGTCGACCCGCGGATGTAACTTTCGGAATGGTCCACAATGGCCGGCGAAAAATTGCGGAAACCGCGAGAGGCTTTATCGTCGGCTATCTTCAGATCCGAGCAGGTGGAGCATTTAAATAATATGTCGAACAGGTGAAATAGCAGGTGCAAAGGCCCGCTGCAGCTTCGCTTGAATCGCCAAGACGCAGCCGTAATCCGTATCGCCCTCGAAAGTCCTCCGTCTTTCGGAAGGGATTCCCAGTTCCTTTTTCTCGATTCCATTCGCGTTAAGGTGAAGTGAAACCCCCTTCAAATCAGTCGATTCGAATACAACACTTTTTTTTAAGGGTATTAGACCAAACTGTCCGAAACTTTGACACATCACTCCTGATCATCTAAGAATTGTCCTGACACATTCAAAATTTGGATTTTTCAAAAAAATTTTTTAACTCAGTCCAGACCAGAACCAAAATGGCGTCGAGCTCTCATATTTCGATCAATATACAATTATCGAAGGCTCTGATATGAGAATCGAAAGGGTCAGGACAATTTTACGACAATTTAGAACACTCTGGTAATCGAGAAACTGGCATTTGAACGAGATAAATGCAAAAAAAGTGTTGTATACGCTTCTATGCTAAAAGGATGGTAATTCGAGGTCTCGGAGTGAAAATTTAATTGACTTGAACGAGATAAATGCAAAAAAAGTGTTGTATACGCTTCTATGCTAAAAGGATGGTAATTCGAGGTCTCGGAGTGAAAATTTAATTGACTTGAACGAGATAAATGCAAAAAAAGTGTTGTATACGCTTCTATGCTAAAAGGATGGTAATTCGAGGTCTCGGAGTGAAAATTTAATTGACTTGGAAATCACAGATGGCGCAGGGGGTCCCTCTGCAGTCAATTAGGGCCTCAGAAACCATGAATCCAGGGGATTTCTGGAGTTTTACTTGGATTTCTTTATAATTATTGTACAATAACGACAGATGGAATATGCCATTTAATACAATACTCAATATAATTCGACACAGCTGTCGATATAAAAGCGAACGCAGCATATTTAGAAAAACCTTTTTTAACGACGTCGATCAAGTTCCTCGCCGTGTTTCACTTCACCTTAAGGTGATATGAAAGTGTGATATATACATAAGGAAAAGTGAAAATATTCAGTTTTTTTTGTCATTTTCGCCACTGGGCAACTCGCCTTGAAAGAAGTTAAAAATGATTTGCGAAAATTTCAATAATTCCAAGATACAAATTTCATTTTTGAACTTTTCGCCAGCTTTTTTGTTATTTTCTCTACTGGACAACTCGGCTTGAAAGAAGTTAAAAATATTCTGAGAAAATTTCACGAGCAGGCATTTGACTACGTAAAGTCATTGTAAATTTAAATTTGGCAAGGATCGTTAGAAATCAGTATTAATTATGCATTAGGCGGTATTACAAGAGCGGCTAATGGAATAAAATCTCGACGGGTTAACAACCTCATCGGGTTAGGGTCTTCGAAACATCGGCGAAGATTTGGAAAGTCAATGAATATTCATGGGATGCTCACTGACGCCTATCGGACACGTCAATAAAAAGAAATATCATTAACATGTCCGTCACGTGTTATTTATCCAAGTGGGTGGCTTTTGAATCCGTAATCCCCGACATTGGTTTTGTCATTTCAGTCCTTTCACTTTCGCCTCCATAATTAACATCTTTCCAATGTTGGTGGAATAATTCGAGCTTTCCAAGTCGAATTCACGTTCACGACCAAATATTTTATTTCACGGAAGAGAAAGATGCACTTTCTCTTAATAACTTACCTGGCAGATTGTCATTTTAAATTGTTTTCTTTTTATGATTATATTTTTATGATTATATATGTCGACAACAATATAAGAAATAACGTTCGTTATTTCTTAACTTGACATATTTGATAAGGGGATCGTCTCTTTGTTGTTACTTTTTTTTCTTTTACTCATGTTTGGTTTCGGTAATGTTGAAGGCTAATGTCTGTTCGTAGAGTCCAACTTTACCGACAAAGGTGAAGGAGATGTACCTTGAGGTGTCAGAATTGTCCGCTAGGAGCGCTCATATACATCGCGAATGGAAGATGATATGAAAGGCGCTGAGAAATTTAATCCAGGTCGATAAATTAAAATTCATCTATACCCTTTTTGGTGGTAACGTCAGTTTGAATACTCAAGTGGTAACATACCCTGACGCGTCACGTTATCGACATTTATATTTATGTTGAAGTTTTTTACAGTCTACGTTGATAATTATACGAACTGAAGCGTTTTATATGTCATTTTGGTAAAGTAATGATGAAGGGATCGACGTAAAATTGTCGAAATCCCGGGAATTCATTATTCTAACGACTGTTTAGGACCAACGTCGCCATCTGTAACGTTTATCTGCAACTAAATTTTTGCTCTAAAAACACATTAGCCCCAAGACGAGCCAGCATTCTCTTGCAATCGTTGGTGAAAGTATTTTCCGTATTTTCCCATCTGACTCTGTAATATTCCATTTCTACGTTATTCTACATTGTTCGAGCTAGGTCCTGAAATTGTTCATTTTCGATTCTAAGCCTCCAAGAAGCGTAAAACATCGGAAACGTGCCCGGACCACGCCACGTTGGTTCTAGTCGATGACAAATAAATAAATTTTTCATGAAAAATGAAATTTCATGAGTTTCAGGACCAACTTTAGGGCCTCCATATTCACGCGCTTGGTGTTTCACTTTTTCGTTTCATAAAAATCCCCTAAGCACGAATTCGCATTACCCATCTGCCGCAGACATTATCTTCCGTCTTTGCTCTTCATTCTTCCTTAACCTGTGACAGATGCAATTGCCATTCTCTGGCGTTTCACTTTTTCGTTTCATCAAAATCCCCTAAGCAGCGAACTCGCGCTACCGCGGCTCAAGAAGTATCGCTAAAAAAAAAAAGCAATTATACTTTCCACAATTTTGCTCGTGAAATCCGAAACTCGTCAAAGGGACGAGTCCCGTTTCAATGTAAATATAATAAATTTCAATGTAAAATGTAATAAAATCAAAAATCAGGGGACGAAGTGAAACGAAGCCGTGCAACGTAAGCTGACCGAGAACAATTCTTTCCTTCCGCCACAGACATTGTCTTCCGTCTTTGCTCTTCCTTCTTCCTAAACCCTGGTGGACGCAGGGGTGGGGGTAATTAATTAATTCCCAGCTCCTAGGAAGTGGTGGGGATGCGAGTGGTGGGGGCAGCACCGTGCGGTGAGAGCATGGTGAGAGGCCGACAGCTGCAGACGGTCAGCGACAGCTGTCCTGCTCGGACCTGCCGTTGGTTGGTCGGCGCCCGAGCGAATAGCGTCCCCCCGCGGCCCCGCCGACCGCAGTGCACCTTGAGGCACCTCAGTGCATCTTCGACCTCCGTCCGAGATGGGTCGGCTCCTAACCTAAGACTTGGAAGTCACTTGTCAATCGTTCGCTCGTTCTCCGCGCGTCGCGTTGATCGTAACCGAAGTCTCGCGCCTGCACATCCGCGATAGTCCGCCATCTTGGAAATCCTGCGATATATCGACCCGAGTTCGCGATTCCTACGAGATTTCGATCAGCCCCCTCCACCTACAAAAGCGATGTCACGTGGTGTCCACTTTCGGGGAATTAAAGAAACCGAGATGACACGTGAACCCAGAGCCGCCTACTTTCCGGACAGAGATATGACATAACCTCCATTTCCACGTCCACCTTCAGACCGCTATAGATCCCTGTTCAATAAGACAGAATATCCCGCCTCATAACCTGTAAAAAATCCCCAGGACGTATTTAATTGACGTGTTCTCGTTAATCCATGCTATAAAATCCATTTGTCCCCTGAATAGCCTCATCCGGCGATAATTTAACCTGACACTTCTCCAATTGTTCAATCCATCCTCCGTTAATTCATGCCGTAACGCGCGTCAACTACTTCGGACATCCATTTTCCGCGTCAGCTCGCATGTCGGATCTCCGGATCCGCAGTTTCCCATCTCCCTCCCATCGCGCTCCATAACCGAGTCCTAAATAGCTGTCGAGTGTGTCATCTGTATCAAGCTTCAGCCCGTGCCCGCGGGAAAATCGATTACTCGATTCCTGGAAGTCTCGGGGAATTCCCCCTCCCGCGGGCCGCGCTCGGCCTATAAAAGCGCCCCGCGGAGGTCACGTGACCCGCGAGCGAGGCTATAAAAGGGACCGGCGCGGTGTCACGTGACGGCACTCGCGAGTCGCCGGCCGACCTGTCGGGAGCGTCGAGCGGAGCTGCGCTGCCCGGCTAGTCCCGACCTAGCCTAACCTAACCTAACCTAACCTAACCTCTGTTCGACGTGGGTGCGTGGCTGGCAGCGGACTTCGACGAAGCGGATATCGCCATGCGGCGATCTACCGGCGTCATCGAGGATCTCTTCGTAGAGGTAATCGACCGGGAGGTTAGGGCAAATTCGACAGGGGGGGAGGGCAAGCGTGCACTTTCAAGATGGAGGGTGAGGGACCTGGCTGTCTCGTTGACTCGCTAATGGCGCCGAAGGAGCCGATTTGTTGCGCCTTTCAGACTCGATGACAAGGTGCATCGAGTGCCGGGAAGTTGGCTGCGATTCCGCCAGACTCTATCGACTCCTTTACGTTGCATCCGTTAAGTGGAATATTCCCTACCGTGGAATTTGTAGAGGGGATTATTCACTTTGAAATATGTGAATATGATTTCCTTCTTTTAGAGACCATTGCTTTTTATTTCATATGATTAATAACGATATGATTTGGTAACAAGCGACGCTTGGCCTTAAATTTGTGACTGTATTAACTGATTTTCACTGATTTCTGCTTGCAATTTCCAGCTGATTTTCGCATAATTTCGAGCGTTTCAATCCATGGTTTCCTGAGTGAATACCCTCTTATATACATGATCTTATATCATTAAGGTGTTAGAAAATTAATAACAATGCGATTTTGTAACAGGCGTCGCTGGGCCTTAAAATTGTGACAGAATTCGTTGATTTTCAATGATTTCTGAATTTCGCATCATTTCGAAGGTTAAAATTCATGATTTCCTGAGTGAATGTCCTCTCATACACACAATTACGGTGTTAGGAAATAATAGTTACACCATTGAAGTGTTAGGAAAGTGTCTTATATATATATGGAAAAATATGGGATAATATATAAAAGTTATACGAAAATCCGAGAGGGTCATCCTTTTATGCATAATTAACGAGGTAATGCGTGTCATTATACAATAATGAAAAATGTTTACCAAATGTCCCAGCACATTTTATGCGACGTAAGACACGAGTTAATTAATGAATACATTAAAGAAATTATAATTTTCTTCGAATTCATGCCTGTAAATGTTCTCTGGTTCATCCAGCCGTGATAAAAAAAAAGGTAAAAATTGAAACTAAGTTAATGAAAATTAGAAATTAAATTTCAGTGGAAGGAACGTGCAATTTAACGTCGGCGTAAAATGTGGGAACGGGGAAAATGAGGGTTTCTGAGTTCCTCATCGGTTTTAATTACGGAACTCGTTCCGGCCGAGGAGGCGGAATTGTTTATAGGGACTTAACTTAGAAATAACGATGATCGAATTCCCGGGTAAATGGGCAAGAAATGATGGCCGAGTGCGCCGTTAATCATTTCGGAATAAGATCGGCTCTTATCGAGTGATGCCAGAGGGCCGCAAATGCGAAATCCATTGAACGCGTGCTCTCATATATTATTTATGAAGTGCATTACATACACATATCGTGGTTAAAGAGTCTCCAGTCTAGAGATAGACCGGGATAGGTGGAGTAATTTAATGCTTGGCTGGATGCAAAGGTCGGCTACGATAAATTGCATCCAATTAGATTCTGCGCCGATGGAGAGCCCGTGATAACGCTCTAATACCTTGCTGTACTTTCAGGGCTTGCTCGGCCATTGTTGGAGGGAAACGCACAATTCCCTTAACCAGGTTAATCCTTTATTGCACGAATTTCTCGTTTTTTTTTTCGGGTTTATTTTATTAGCTTACCGTATCTCTCTTTTTGCGACATCATTCCTGGGGTTTACTTGTCAAACTTTTAAATAATTTCCGGTACAAATATGAAAGAGAGTGGAAAATAATTGTTGGAGGGGAACGCATAATTCTCTTAACCAGGTTAATCCTTTATTGCACGAATTTCTCGTTTTTTTCGAGTTTATTCTATTATCTTATCGTATCACTCTTTCATCTTTTGTGACATCGCTATTTCTGATGTTTATTTATCAAACCTTTAAACAATTTTCTGCACAAATCTGAAATATAATTGTCGGAGGGAAGCCCTTACCGTGTTTATCCCTCTCGCCGTTTTTTAAAAATAAAAAGTTATATTTCACTTTTAAAATTATATTATATTATTAACAACAAGAATCCGAATCGCAAAACGTTGAATTTCGAATGCAAAATTCGTCCTGATCTGCATCGGCGAATGTTATACCGGTCATTGTTAAAGGGTAATAAACAACGAGGCGAAGTGGCCCATTGAATGGTCTATTAACAGAGTTCCTTGAGTTTATTCTTAGAGTCTATTAAAAGCAGGTCTTTGTTTTCCAAAAAGTGTTAGACGAGGCGATCGAGATGGACGACTGGCATCGATCTCCCGAGGTGGAAACGTTAACTGCTTCGAACTAAAAATAAAACCAGATGAATCAATCGGTGACACGATCGATCCGAGGAGAATTGCAACAGGAGCTCACGTGATCGATCGCGCAGGCGCGTACCTACAGTACTAATACGTGCATGCAATAATTCCGAGGCTGGGGCGCAACGGCACCTTTGCATAAATTAACTCGGCCGCGGTTAAGGTGAAGTGAGACCCCCCTCAAATCAGTCGCTTCGAATAAGACACTTTATTTTAAGGTGAAGTGAAATCCTTCCCTCAAATCAGTCGCTTTGAATAAGATACTTTATTTTAAGGTGAAGTGAGACCCCCTTAAATCAGTCGCTTCGAATAAGACACTTTATTTTAAGGTGAAGTGAAATCCTTCCCTCAAATCAGTCGCTTTGAATAAGATACTTTATTTTAAGGTGAAGTGAGACCCCCTTAAATCAGTCGCTTCGAATAAGACACTTTATTTTAAGGTGAAGTGAGACCCCCTTAAATCATTAGATTTTTTTAAGGTGAAGTGAAACCCCCTTAAATCAGTAGATTTTTTTAAGGTGAAGTGAAATCCTTCCCACAAGTCAGTCGCTTCGAATAAGACACTTTATTTTAAGGTGAAGTGAGACTCCCTCAAATCAGTCGCTTTTTTAAGGTCAAGTGAAATCTTTCCCTCAAACCAGTCGCTTTGAATAAGACACTTTATTTTAAGGTAAAGTGTGAAACCCTTCCCTCAAATCAATCGCTTTGAATAAGACACTTTATTTTAAGGTGTAGTGAGACCTCCCTCAAATCAGTCGCTTTGAATAAGCCACTTTATTTTAAGGTGAAGTGAAATCCTTCCCTCACATCAGTCGCTTCGAATAAGACACTTTATTTTAAGGTAAAGTGAAACCCTTCCCTCAAATCAATTGCTTTGAATAAGACTTTATTTTAAGGTGAAGTGAGACCCTCCTCAAATCAGTCGCTTCGAATAAGAGACTTTATTTTAAGGTCAAGTGAAACCCTTCCCTCAAATCAGTCGCTTCGAATAAGAGACTTTATTTTAAGGTAAAAAATGAAATTTCGCGAGTTTCGGGATCTACCTTAGGGTCTCCGTATTCACGTTTTAAAGTATGAAACGATTTGAGACACCCAGTTCTATGAAAAGTTTTATGAACGATTGAGCTTTCGGATGCCACTTTCACATCCCCTTAATCGTTGGGTGGAGGCATTCGAAAAACGGAACGGCTCTTCATCCTCTCCGAGGGGACATCTTAATGTCGCGTCGACGCCACCTGTCTTGACTTTCTCATTCGTTAATATCTCCGGAGATGTCTCCTTTCCGGGTGCGCGATTCATAAATCTCCATTTCTCGATTACCCTCGCGGTGTCTCCTTAATTACACCAGTTATAATTGCGCCACTGCTGGCAGCTTCTCTTTGCTTTCTCCCCGCTGGCTGCGCCCAGATGGAAAATAGTTTACGGGGTGTAATTTCTTGCTTTTTCTGCTCCCTTTTATGTCTACACGTCCTGTGATGGAAATCTAATTGAAAAGTTCTCTTTTGCAGAGTTTCCTTGGGCGTACTTTACTATTGCCGGGCCTTTTTTTACTCCTCTCTCGTTACTTGTACACGGATGGGAAATGGTTACCGAGGTATAATTTACTGTCCCTGTACTCTCGTTAAATTGATGAGTTTCGTCACGGGGAGTTTAAGTAAATGTTGGTTTGCTGCATTTTTTTCACGTGTATTTTACTATTATGAATTATTTTTATATGGATTGAAAATTGTTATTCGAGTCTAATTTGCCTTTTTTAAACTCCCATTAAACGTTATGTCTTCTGTCGTGAAAATTCAATTGAAAATTCTTTCGCTAAATTTCTTTGTACGTATTTTATTATTGTAAGGTCGTTTTTATGCGTTTATTGTTATTTTAACGCAAATGGAAAATAGTTATCGCGGTGCGATTTTTTTAATTTGCAGTTTCCTTAGGCGTACTTTACTTTTGCCGGACCTCTTTTTACTCCTTTCTCGTTACTTCTACACAGATAGGAAATTGTTACCGGTGGTATAATTTACTGTCCTTGTCCTCTCGTTAAATTGATGAGTTTTGTCGCGGAAAGTTTAAGTAAAAGTTGGTTTGCTGCATTTTTTTATATGTATTTTACTTTTGTGAATTATTTTTATATGGATTGAAACTCGTTACTGGAGTCTAATTTGCCTTTTTTAAGCTCACATTAAACGTTATGTGTTGTGTAATGGAAATTTAATTGAAAATTCTGTTGCTAAATTTATATAATCTATATGAATATTTTTTTCATGTATCTTGTTATTGTGGAAGGAAGGTGTTAAGAAGCGAACGACGAGATTTCATCCTTCGGCTTCGCATATCTTATAATCCCTATAAAATGAATTTGGCATGTAAACTTTCCTTTAGAAAATCATTAATCTCGTCTAGGAAGTAAACTTTTCGCACAATGTAGCAAACTATACGTTAGGAAGCGATCGTCGGGATTTAATCCTTTCGCTTCGCATATCTTGTAATTCCTATAAAATGAATTTGGCATGTAGAATTTTCCTTCAAAAATTATTAATATCGTTCAGGAAGCATACTTTTCGCACAATGTGGCAAACCGTAGGTTAGGTAGCGATCCTCGGGATTTCACAACGAGCGCGCATGCGCCTGGGAAAAGCGCGCGGTTTTCGAAATCCCGGGGCCCGGTAATAAAGGCTCATTGTGCCTAAGGCGGCCCCTCGTTCGGAAGGTCTCGTACCTTTTGTGAGAGTTTCCAACTAAATAAAAGTATTGTACGATTCGCGAGCTCTGGTACTGGTTCCCTTTTGCTCGCTGTTATGGCATATCCGCTTAGCAACCAAAGATGGAGCCAGATGAAGCCGAGAGAGATCTCGACAGTGGTCAAACGTGTCCCTTTCGCGGGGCATTACGCGCGGGAATCGTTCTATTTATACCAAGATCGAGAGGCTTGCCTACTTTGGTCGGGATTTGCTTTTGACATTGCCCCCGAGTCCCAATGGATGCCTTTCCTGGGTAGAGCCATCCTCCCGACTTAACAGGTGCATCTTCCGGGCGTCCTTATCTCCTCGAATGAATTTTATTACCCTTAGTTCTCATTCCTAGTGAGAAAACTTGATTGTGTCTTGTTACGGATTGCAGTTCGTATTGTATATTAATTCTTCGCCTATTCTATATTAATCATTTGGCTACTAAGAGCGTCTAAAGGCGCCCGACGTTTGGTCCAATATTGCCTGCACGGTCAGAGGAATTTCGCCCATATGTCGAAATGGCTCCGTGTTCAAAGGGTTAGGATTGCTCTATCCCACTGGATGCCTTTCCTGGGTAGAGCCATCCTCCCGACTTAACAGGTGCATCTTCCGGGCGTCCTTATCTCCTCGAATGAATTTTATTACCCTTAGTTCTCATTCCTAGTGAGAAAACTTGATTGTGTCTTGTTACGGATTGCAGTTTGTATTGTATATTAATTCTTTGCCTACTAAGAGCGCCGAAAGGCGCCCGACGTTTGGTCCAATATTGCTTGCACGGTCAGAGGAGTTTCGCCCGTATGTCGTAATGTCTCCATGGTCAAAGGGCTAACTATTACAGCGATATATTAAGTCGTCCATAAAACTCAACGAATCTCTCCCAGTTCTTCTATTTCGCGGATATAGAAAACTACACCTTAAAATTGGTCCGTTTTGTATTCTCATAGAGAAAAGATTACGATTAACCCTTTGGCTCTTAAGAGCGCCTAAACGCGCCCGATGTTTGGTCCAATATTGCCTGCACGGTCAGACGAATTTCGCCCATATGTCGAAACGGGTTAGCTATTGTAGCGATATATTAAATCGTCCAGAAAGCTCAACGAATCTCTCCAAGTTCTTCTATTTTCGCTGATATAGAAAACTAGCCCTTAAAATCGGCTCGTTTTGTATTCTCATGGAGAAAAAATTACGGTTAACCCTTTGACTATTAAGAGCGCCTAAAGGCGCCCGACGTTTGGTCTAATATTGCCTGCACGGTCAGGCGAATTTCGCCCATAAGTCGAAATGACTTCGTGTTCAAAGGGTTAAGGTGATATGAAATGGTCATTCTATATAAATAAAACGTACAAGTATTGATAAAATTTTTCTCAACGTGTTTCACATCACCTTAACCCTTTGGCTACTAATAGCGCCTAAAGGCGCCCGACGTTTGGTCTAATATTGCCTGCACGGTCATAGGAATTTCGCCCATATGTCGAAATGGCTCCGTGTACATCATACTTACCTACTATTACAAAACTTGGGTATATAACCTGGTTACCTGACATGCAGCCTGATAACTCGATACCTTGGTATTCAAAAGTGGAAATTAGACTCTTATCGCGTTCGCATAATGGCAGGTCATGTTTTAAAACGGACTAGATGTAAATGTAACTACTTTGGTTGCGATTTACTTATATTACCCTGGGGCCATTATCAGTACCTTTCCTGGACAGATCCGGGTGTCCCGTCGACTTAAAGAGGTGTAGTTTACACGCATTTTACCCGCACTGTGCTTATCAACGCGATATCTGGTTTTAGCAATTTTACACGCACTAGTTTCCTTCCCAATCGAAATACCTTGAACGTATTTCGATTGGAAATTCCTAGTTTTATTACGCGTTAAAGCATTAGGCTATGATGTATGTACAGGGTGAGTCATATGAAAGGTCTAGGAGAGGTGGAGTTTCATTCGTGATAAGACATTCCCATTGGGCTACGAGTGGAGACAAGGAAGTAACGATCAATCTCACCTTTCGAACCTGCAAATTTCTCCCACAAATGTGTGTTAGATTTGGAATTTTACCGAGTTAGTTAATTATAAACTCTACATGCAAATTTCATGGTCTTTCGTGGAGGTCTGAACATTCGTCCATGATGTTTTAAAAAAATGAAAAGTAAATGAATAGAAAAGTGATTTGAAAAATTAATAGAAAAGTGAATTGAAAAATGAATAGAAAACTGAAGTGAGCAAATTTCTCCCACAAATGTTTGTTCGACTTGGAATTTTACCGAGTTAGTTAATTGGAAACTCTACATGCAAATTTCATGGTGTGTCGAGGAGATCTGAACATTCGTCCTATGAAGTTTTAAAAAAGATGAAATTCAAAGCTACTTTCCCCAGCAATTTGACTTCTCATAAATATATATATTAATTCTTAATTAATTAAACTTCTCTTAAATATATATATATATAGGCTGACTCATATCACCTTAAAGTCAACTAAATTATTTTTTCTCAGGATAGGAACTAAAACCTTTATCATGCATGAAATTATTAAATTTCTCAGGGTAGAAATTAAAACCTTTATTACGTATGAAATTATTAAACTTCTCAGGGTATAAACTAAAACCTTTATTACACATGAAATTATTAAACTTTCAAGCGTAGCATGTTTATGTGCTGAAAAAAAAACAACGCTTTCGTATCCGTCTTTTACATTGCTAGGAGAAAATGTTGAAAGGAAACAGTAGAAAATCAAACGTTTATTTCGGGCCAGAGAGCCATATATATATGGCTACATCTTTTTCATATCACTTTAAAGTCAACAAAACTCTTTCATATCACTTTAAAGTCAATAAAATTTTTTTTTCTTAGGGTAGAAACAAATTATTAACATTTTCAGGGTAGAAACTAAAATCTTTATTACGTATAAAATTATTAAACTTCTCAGGGTATAAGCTGAAACCTTTATTACACATGAAATTCTTAAACTTTCAAGTGCATCATGTTTATATGCTGAAAAAAAAAATCAACGCTTTCGTATCCATCTTTTACATCGCTAGAAGAAAATGTTGAAAGGAAACGGTAGTAAATGAAACATTCATTTCGGGCCAGAGACCGAAATTTTGTGAGTCGTAAACCCCAAAAGGGATCTCGTGGCCTCGGTGGAGGCTACCGTGCATGGCACCTCGGGGGAAAGCAGGGAAAATTGGGGAAAACGGCGAGAAATCGAGGATGTTTGCCAAAGGGCAAGCTTTGACGATGGGAAAATACTCAGACGAGGGGGTCTCAATAAATATCGCCGTAAAATCGGGCCTCAAGGAAGGTCCTTGGACCCTCCCTAACCACCAGCCAATTTGCACCGTTTTACTGCCTAGGAGGCACTGGGTCAGTGGGAAACTCTACCGAGATACGATTCCGGGGTGACAATAAATCTGGGAAAATTTACGGGAGTTCCTGGCCCTCCCTGGAGGGCACTTAAAGTCCCTAGGAAGATTTCCCTACAGGCTTTGCGTGGACATCTCCATAACGGATGCACTTTCTTTGCATCCTTCGAATCCTTGGCCTCCTTTCCTGGGAGGTATTCAATGTGCGTGCTTAGAATCCCCTAGAAAATTATGAAAATTTCTCTTCTGACGATGGAAAGCTTGTTTTATAATGTTTTACAATGTTTCATATGATTTTGCAGATTAAGTCATGTTTTATGAACAGTGGGATGAAGTTTCTTTACATTTTCGAAGACTTCCTTGGCCTCTTTTCCTGGGAGGTATTCAATGCGCGTGCTTAGAATCCCCTAGAAATTTATGAAAATTTCTCTCTTGGAGATGGAAAAGTTGTTTTAGAATGTTTTAGAATGTTTTAAATTATTTCATAGATTAACTCATGTTTTATGAATAGTGGGATGCACTTTCTTTGTATCCTTTGAAACCTTGGCCTTCTTTTCTGAGCGATATTCAATGTGCGTGCTTAGAGTTCCCTAGAAAATTATGAAAATTTCTCTTCCGGCGATGGAAAGGTTGTTTTATAATGTTTTACAATGTTTCATATGATTTTGCAGATTAAGTCATGTTTTATGAACAGTGGGATCCACTTTCTTTGCATTTTTCAAAGACTTCCTTGGCCTCCTTTCCTGGGAGGTATTCAATGCGCGTGCTTAGAATCCCCTAGATAATTATGAAAATTTCTCTTCCGGCGATGGAAAAGTTGTTTAAGAATTTTTCATAATGTTTCATATTATTTCGCAGATTAACTCATGTTTTATGAACAATGGGATGCTCTTTCTTTCCATTTTTCGAAGATTCTTTCTCAAGGCATAGTTTCGCATATCAGCTCGCATTTCGTAATTGTCGTAAACGCTTGTTTCTCTTTATTCCATTTAATTGATTTGGGTGATGCACTTCATTTTAAGGGATTTTTATTATATTTTCCAGGATACCATGATGGAGTGCAGTGGCGACGACGGAGGAGATCTGGACGACTTCGTGGACCTAGTGACGGACATTGCAGATTCCGCGCCGACTATACGTGGTGATTTAATTAAATCTCTTCCTCGATTAATGACAAAAAAAAAATCCGATGCGAGACAATGCAGTTGATTGCCCCCTGCAGAAATTCCATTTTCGAATTTGCTTCCTTTCTTTTCAAAATTAAGGGGATGTGAACGTGGCATCTTAACCCTTTGGCTACTAAGGGCGCCTAAAGGCGCCCGACGTTTGGTCCAATATTGCCTGCACGGCCAGACGAATTTCGCCCATATGTCGAAATGGCTCCGTGTTCAAAGGGTTAAGAATCAATACTTTACGAAACTTCTCTTCGAATTGGGTGTACGAATTTCTTTCAAATTTTATCAGATGAATAAGGAGACCCTAAGGTAGGTCCTGTAACTCCCGAAATTTCATTTTTTATTAACACTATTTCTACCACGATTTTGTGTATACCTATTTCGACCAAAAGGTTTCGATGAGCTGGAGGAAAATGATACCGCTAAATAAATTTAACAATTATTATACGAAAACTCAAAACATTAATTGAGGAAAAATTGAGCCGTCGACTAAAGTCGACGCTCGGCTGTGGGCCATCATATCACGGCCGTCGACTAAAGTCGACGCTCGGCTGTGCGCCTTCATATCACGACCGTCGACTAAAGTCGACGCTCGGCTGTGCGCCTTCATATTATTGCCGTCGACTAAAGTCGACGCTCGGCTGTGCGCCTTCATATCACGACCGTCGACTAAAGTCGACGCTCGGCTGTGCGCCTTCATATCACGACCGTCTCGACGCTCGGCTGTGCGCCTTCATATCACGACCGTCGACTACAGTCGACGCTCGGCTGTGCATCTTCATATCACGGCCGTCGACTAAAGTCGACGCTCGGCTGTGCGCCTTCAGATCACGGCCGTCGACTAAAGTCGACGCTCGGCTGTGGGCCATCATATCACGGCCGTCGACTATAGTCGACGCTCGGCTGTGTGCGTTCATTTGTGACTGTCGACTATAGTCGACGCTCGTATCGAAGTGGTTAAATTGAGTCCCGAAGAGTCCTGTCCTCTCGAGCCGGCTATTATTCAATTCCGCTCGTTTTAAGGGCCTCCCCAGGGGCGAGGATCTGGACAAAAAGTCGGACTGTCCAGAGGGTCCTGCGAGACCGCAACGGATCCTTTGCATCCTTTTCAGGGCGCAGATCAATTTTCCCTCGCGGTCCAGCAGGATCGGTTCCTGTTCCCAGGAACAGGTAACCCCGATACGACCCTTAAGCCTGCTTCCAACACTCCGGGAAGGGAATAAAAAAGGAAGCCCTGATCCAGTTCCCCAGGCAGGATGCGAAGTGCCGGGAACAGGAATTCCCTCCTGCGAATTTTTCGCTCATCCGTTCCCGTGGGAACCTCCCTCGAAATTCCCTCGCGTCTTTTCTATCCTGAAATTCCTCCTGATTTTCCGAATTTGCCCTCGGGAACCCCTATCGGCGTTCTGAGAGAAAAAGCGCCGATAAACTGAACTATTTGACCGTGTTAAGGTGATATGAAAGGCGCTGGGGAATTTAATCAAGGTCGATAAATTAAAATTCCTGAAATCCTGAAATCGCTCCCGATTTTGCGACTTTGCCCTCCCTCGGGACCCTTTATCGGCATTCTGAGAGAAAAAAGAGCTGGTAAATTGAATCATTTGATCCTGTTAAGGTGATATGAAAGGCGCTGAGAAATTTAATCAAGGCCGATAAATTACAATTCCTGAAATCCTGAAATTGTTCCCGATTTTGCGTCTTTGCCCTCCCTCGGGACCCTTTATCGGCATAGTGAGAGAAAAAGCGCTGGAAACAGAACACTTTGACCCTGTTAAGGTGATATGAAAGGCGCTGAGAAATTTAATCAAGGTCGATAAATTAAAATTCCTGAAATCCTGAAATTGTTCCCGATTTTGCTACTTTGCCCTCCTTCGGGACCCTTTATCGGCATAGTGAGAAAAAAAGCGCTGGTAAACTGAACAATTTGACCCTGTTAAGGCGATATGAAAGGCGCTGAGAAATTTAATCAAGGTCGATATATAAAAATTCCTGAAATCCTGAAATTGTTCCCGATTTTGCGTCCTTGCCCCCTATCGGCATTCGGAGAGAAAAAGTACTGTCGCGTTCACTAGTATTTGTATGGCAAAACGGACTGCCCTAATGAAAGGGTTAATGAAATTTCTCGTTTTCTACTAACTACAACTAAACATTGTTTCATATGCATGAAAATTAACAAACGCCCGTTTTTCAATAATATTCCAGATGCAGCGGAACGACTGCTGACTCTATTACGAGTGGACGAGGACGAGGACGCGTCATCGGAGGACGAAGGAGTGGAGGTCGACGTGGAGGACAGCGAGGACGAGGAGGACCTCGAGAAGCCGTCCTTTCTGCACCACTTGGCAGCCTCCCTGGCCCAGGAGTTGAAGTTCTCGAAGCAGACGAGTTCGAAGTTCCACCAGCTCCCAAATCCCATCCCCAGCAGCATAAAAGAATTAAAAGAGTCGATTCAAGGCCATTCCCAGGACCCTGGGCGCGACCATCATGGGAGTCGACTCTTCGGCCGTGACCTTGACTCCTCGATACAAGGACAAAGTCAAGGTCACTTCGAGAACAACCTGTACAATGAGTCCAAACGGATGCAGAATGGGTCCTCGGGACCAGGACTCGTCCATGAGAGCCGACTCTTCGGCCGTGACCTTGACTCTTCGGCGCAAGGACAAAGTCAAGGTCACTTCGAGAGCAGCCTGTACACTGAGTCCAAACGGATGCAGAACGAGTCCTCAGGACCAGGACTCGTCCATGGGAGTCGACTCTTCGGCCGTGACCTTGACTCTTCGGCGCAAGGACAAAGTCAAGGTCACTTCGAGAGCAGCTTGTACACTGAGTCCAAACGGATGCAGAATGGATCCTCGGGACCAGGACTCGTCCATGGGAGCCGACTCTTCGGCCGTGACCTTGACTCTTCGGCGCAAGGACAAAGCCAAGGTCACTTCGAAAGCAGCCTGTACAATGAGTCTAAACGGATGCAGCTCGTCCCCTCGAGGACGGAAGTCCTGGAGAAGAGACTCAGGATCGAGGAATTTGGAGAACGGGTTCCTCAGCAGGACTACGCCCAGGAGGAAGAGAGTTCCTGGGGGATTAGGAGCACCCCAGGAGGTCAGGGACCCTGGGGAATCAAGAGCGATGAGAGTGTCCCCAGTTCCTGGGGGGCTGGATGGAACGCTTGTGCTGCGGAAGCTCTTCGATATCTTGTCGAGGATGAAGGACTTCCGCCTCATCATCCCACCGTGGTGGCCATGAAGAGTCATCTGGACTCCCAGAGAGAACGAGCTCTGGCTCTACATACCGTGTAGAGTAATGATTTGTTAAGTTTGAGGAGACGAAGAAGTTAGATCTTGGACCTGGAGAACCGATATGGCGGTCTAGGTCGCTCGGTTTATTCCTGAGGACGATGTTACGTGCGCTCTTGGTATGAAACTCTACCTTGGATTTGTACACGGTCCGATGGTAGAGGATGAAGCGTTTGGCGAATGTTCTTGGCGTGGAATGCTACCTCTAGTTGTGGTAGATGGAGCTAATTATGAGAGGTAGTTTATGCCTGAGGACGATATGTGATGTTATTGGCATGAAACTCTACCTTGGATTTGTACACGGTCCGATGGTAGAGGATGGAGCGTTTGGTGGGTGTTCTTGGCGTGGAATGCTACCTCTAATTGTGGTAGATAGGGCTAATTACGAGAGGTAGTTTATGCCTGAGGACGATATGTGATGTGCGCTCTTGGTGTCAAACTCTACCTTGGATTTGCACACGGTCTGATGGCACAGGGTGGAGCGTTTGGTGGATGTTCTTGGCGTGGAATGCTACCTCTAGTTGCGGCAGATGGAGCTAATTACGAGAGGAAGTTTATGCCTGACGATATGTGATGTGCGCTCTTGGCGTGAAACTCTACCTTGGATATGTACACGGTCCTATGGTAGAGGATGGAGCGTTTGGTGGATGTTCTTGGCGTGGGATGCTACCTCTAGTTGCGGCAGATGGAGTTAATTACGAGAGGTAGTTTATCCCTGAGGACGATATGTGATGCGCGCTCTTGGTGTCAAACTCTACCTTGGATATGTACACGGTCCTATGGTAGAGGATGGAGCGTTTGGTGGATGTTCTTGGCGTGGAATACTACCTCTAGTTGTGGCAGATGGAGCTAATTACGAGAGGCAGTCGTCTTACTTTACTGCGTGCACTTGGCGTGGCACGCTACAGTAGTGGTGGTGTTATGGGATTAATGAGGAGAAATTCTTGCTTCGTCTTAGTGCGGAGGTTAGGTAGAGCCTCTTGGACTCGTGAAAGGAGAGAGCACCATTTCTTATGTTTGTCATGTAGAGCAAGGATTTGTTAAGTTTGAGAAGTTGATAAGACTGGAGTCTGGAATTGAAGTCGACTTGCCAATGAAGCTGAAGAAGCGGGGATGTAGAGTGGGTATGCTCTTGGCGAGGAACTCTACCGCGGATGTTAATTCGATCTGGTGGATGGAAAATCTTCGATATGTGTACTTGGTGTGGGATAATGCCTGATGATGCCGGTTCATGATTAACTGACCAGCATTAGATTTACGTCATTTTGACGTGGTTTACGTGAAAAAAAAACTAAGGTTATTAATCAAATCAAGGGGGATGTTTATTTAACTTCATACACCGTGAGAAGTGAAGCTTACTTCACTCTGAGAAGATGAAGTAGGGCTGTTTTGAAGTGACGAATCATCATGATGACGTAGTTGAGGATATGAAAGATGTCTGGGAAGTTGTGATCTTGGCGAGAGACTCTGCTTTGGATTTTAAGACGTAAAGATGTGCGGATTACGTATCGTTTGGGAGTTGTACTTGGTGTGGGACTCTGCAGTGCCTGGAATCAACGACGAGATTTTTTCTCGCCATTTCACCAGGATGACTATAATGTTTGTCATCAACTTACCACAATGACTATCAGCTTGCAAAGGAAAGGTGTTTTAGCTCAATATGTTATTTACAATATGGACTGTTTAAATTTTGAAGTTGCCCACAACCTACTTCAAAATGGCGGTGTAAATCTATTATCGGGATTTTGAGCACGCAAGAAGTCGAGGTCACTTTGTAGGTGATAATCGGAGGACATTTTGGGGGTGCGACACGTGTACTTGGCGTGGTGCTCTACCGTGTCCATTTACGGAAAATTGATCTTTTAGCTAGTACTTGGCGCGAAACGCTGACGCGTGATGAGACTGAATAGAAAATGCGAACTGAATCTGTCTTCTGATGGGTGTACTTGGCGCGAAACGCTACCGTTTCTTTTGGTGTTAAGCAAACGTCGGGTATATGCATCGGTGATTGTACTTTTATTTGGTGCGAGACACGTTTCTTAATGAAAATCCAATAGAAGCAAATTTCGGTGCGTGTACTTGGTGCGAGACTCTACGTCTCTTAATTGAAATTAGCAGATGGCCGATGAGTGTCCTGGAATGTGCCTCACGTGTATGTTCCTGGCGCGAGATGTAGCCGCAACTTTTAATGAAACTTCTTGACCAGCAACGGATAGAATTTGCATTAAATTCGTAGGACATTTTTTCAAAATTTCTTGGCCCCTCAAATTTAGAAAGAATTTTCCAAATTCAAATTAGTGATATGAACAAAGGACTAATCAAAATTTTGGAAATTTAACCGCATAGTCTCATTTCTTAATTACTGATCAACAACGAATTGATTTTGCGCGAGGAAATTGTACAAAATTCGTAGGACACGTTTTCAAAATTTTTTGGCCGTTCAAATTTTGAAGGAATTTTCAAAACTGACAGAAATGAACAAGGGACTAATCAAAATTTTGGAAATTTAACCGCATAGTCTCATTTCTTAATTACTGATCTGCAACGAATCGATTTTGCACGAGGAAATTGCAAAAAATTCGTAGGACATGTTTTCAAAATTTTTGGGCCGCTTAAATTTTGAAGGAATATTCCGAATTCAAACTAATGAGATTAACAAAAACACTAATCAAAATTTTGGAAATTCAGGAGTACAGTTTCATTTCTCAATTAATTTCAGATCTGCATGAGCGAGCTGGAATTCTTAAGATACATTGTACATAATAAACAAATGATATATACCGAAATAAATGGCGGAAAAGTTCACAAAAAAAGTTATAACAATCTGAATAAGTCGTATTTTGCGTTGAAAAGAAAAAAATTATTCACAATCAATTCGAGCGAATAATTGACAAATGTGAATTAATCGAGATGGTCCAAGATTGACTTTGACCCTTTTATGGATTAATAAATGAATAATTCCCTAATTATCTAATATTTTTTTTTTAAATACAAGAAATCTTGTATATGTGAATATTTAATGTTACAATAATTATTCGCTTGAATGATTAGTGAATGAAATTGATAAATGTTGAAGTCAATGCCGATGCGAGGAAGTGGATCTTGATTAATGATTGATCTTGCTTCCATCATTTACACTTGCACATCATCTATCATAATAATATTGCTATTGTCCCAGTAATAATCTTAAATATCGATTGAGTAATAATTGACAATTATTTATTCGCAGTAAGCCGGAAATTGTTCGTAGGGCGGGTTTAAAATATCTCGAAAGTTGAATTTCTTTAGACCTTAATGGAAATTCGAAAATGTAAATTTTGCTCGAATTGAAAAGTTCTTTTGCAAATATTTTTCGGAAAAGACGTCGACGAAAACTCGTGCTTTCCGGTGGGGATTGCGTGAATTATGCGTATTCCTTTACCAGACCTTGTATATATGTATAATAACCGTTTTAACTTATACCGAGAACCATTATTACTTTTACATTAATTGTAGATAACATTGCTCGATAATAAATTAATACTGACGTATATCAATATTAATTTATGCCCACGTTTTTCATCGTCGAATTGCCCAAGAACCTAATATCCATTCCATTCCTTCCTTGTCAGATAATTTTTAAACAATCTTGGGTTAAAACCGTACATTTTCAACCACATTTATTTACAGCGCGATTAATTAATCGCATACATTAATTGATCGTGTTGTATTGAACATTTGATATATCGATATTGATGTTTAACACATGTTCAATCTAATTTAGGTTTCCCTCATAATTGTGCAATTTTTAGGTTGATGTTCGATTAACTAAAGCTAAACGATCGAATTTCGCTGGTTAACTTCAGGTGCTAACCTAAGAAGTAAAGTTCTTTGGTTAAGAATTAATATAAAATATTTTCAAGCGTACTTCGATCATTAAGAAATTGTAAATAAAATCAATTATTCATCCGTTTCATCGTAAGATGTTAATACATCCTCAATCCAATTAATGTTTTCCTCACATTTGTGTAGTTTTCAGGTTAAAGTTCGATTAACTGAAGCTAAACGATCGAATTTCGCTGGTTAACTTCAGGTGCTAACCTAAGAAATAAAGTTCTTTGGTTAAGAATTGATATAAAATATATTCAAGCGTACTTCGATCATTAAGAAATTGTAAATAGAATCAAATTTTCATCCGTTTTATCGTAAGATGTTAACACATCCTCAATCTAATCCAGGTTTTCTTCACATTTGTGCAGTTTTTGGGTTAAAGTTCGATTAACTTAAGCTAAACGATCGAATTTGGCCGATTAATATAAATGGCGGTTACAGGAAATTAACCGGCCGTTAAAATGTAGCGCAACGTGCAACTGATAACCGAGGATTACCTTTTCGTTTCTTGAGGGAGTTTTCCATTAGCAAGTTTTCCTCACGTTTGTGCAGTTTCTAAGTTAAGGTTCGATGAACTAAAGCTAACCGGTCGAATTTGGCCGGTTAATCTAAACGGCGGTTACTGGAAATTAACCCGCGGTTAAAATATGGTTTAACGTGCAACTGGTAACCGAGGATTACCTTTTCGTTTTTCTAGGGAGATTTCCATCGACAAGTTTTCCTCACGTTTGTGCAGTTTCTAAGTTAAGGTTCGATGAACTAAAACTAACCGATCGAATTTCGCCGGTTAATCTAAACGGCGGTTACTGGGAATTAACCCGCGGTTACAATATGGTTCAACGTGCAACTCGTAACCGAGGATTAAGGTATTGACCAAGGTTGGAACCGGGCATTAGACGAGAGGAGGGAAACGTTTCTTAGGGGACTTTTCCATCGGTCGGCACGCGACCATTATCCCGAATTTGTAAAGGTCCTCCTTCGGGACTCGGTCTCGGGTAAAATTCTACGCCACTGTGGCATCTGGCGTGGGTCGTAGCACATGCCATGCATCTGCTCTTTGCCGAGTACTTTTGTTGTAAAAGTACCGAGGCAGTTGCCCCGTAAAAACAGGACGCGCCACGACGAGATGCCCGGGAATAAGTCCGACCTGCTCCCGATACTTTAAGGTGATATGAAAGGCGCTCAGAAATTTAATCGAGGTCGAGAAATTAAAATTCATCTATACCCTTTTCGGTAGGAACGTCATTTTGAATGCTCAAGTAGGAACATAAGCTGGCGCGTCGCGTTACCGACATTTATATGTATGTTGAAGTCTTTTATAATTACTTTGATAATACACTGTGATAATACACACTTTAATAATACACTTTGATATTTATACGAACTGAAGGGTTCCATATGTCATTTCGGTAAAGTAATGGACGACTTAATATATCGCTATAATAGCTAACCCATTTCGACATAAGGGCGAAATTCCTCTGACCGTGCAGGCAATATTGGACCAAACGTCGGGCACCTTTAGGCGCTCTTAATAGCGAAAGGGTGAGTCGTAATTTTTTCTCTATGCGAATACAAAACGGGCCGATTTTAAGAGTTAGTTGTCTATATCCCCGAAAATAGAAGAAGTTCGAGAGATTCGTTGTCCTTTCTAGACGACTTAATATATCGCTACAATAGCTAACCCATTTCGACATAAGGGCGAAATTCCTCTGACCGTGCAGGCAATATTCGACCAAACGTCGGGCGCCTTTAGGCGCTCTTAGTAGTCGAAAGGTTAACGAAATATCCTGTCTTATAAGTCTTGCTGTCTCGCATCGGAGGAAGTTCGTCGGAGTTGTCGTTTTCGACGAGTCTCGTTTGGTTTTTTGGCCAGTTGGACCGAGAGGAAATTCGGGAGGGCAGAGGGGATGGAACAGCTGTCTTGACAGCCGTCAGGTGGTCTGCCGACCCCGTCAGCTGTGGGGGTGAGACCCCGAAAGGGTTGAGACCGCGTCTAGGACTTTTAGGAAAGAATTCTGGCCGCCATGACACGTGGAAACATTTCTTGAGAATCCCAGCAGCCACTAAATTCCTCGGGAAGTCTTTCATCACCACTAATAAAAATAGAGATGAGATTACAACAATTTACGATTTGAAGTATATTGAAAAATTTAATTAGCATTGCATTACGAGTACATGTTTCTTGTATTTAAAATTTGACGTTGACATGCGATGCATATACACCACTAATAAAAATTGAGGTAAGATTGCAACAATTTACGATTTGAAGTATATTGAAAAATTTAATTAGCATTGCATTACGAGTACATGTTTCTTGTATTTAAAATTTGACGTTGACATGCGGTGCATATACACCGCTAATAAAAATAGAGGTAAAATAAGGTACCGGAAAGGTGCACGAGTTCCTAATCTCCGATCAGCACGCTCCTTCCGAACAGCTGTTCTTTACGAAAAAAGAGTGGAGCGGATTTCGAAAAAGATAATTCTTCCCCTGCGTTCCAAAATCCAATCCACTGAGTATCGATTCGAATTTCGAGGGGTCTGAAAATGACGTTTAGTTACTCCGACTTGTTTTTAGATTATTCGCCTTTTTTCAAAATTTGCCGGCTGAGGCGAATTACTCGACGTGGACGTTGGAGCAGATGTACTTCCGGCAGCTGTTAGGGCTAATGTCATGCGCCGCTTTGAGCAACGTGCTGTCAAAATGCTTCTGTCTTGCCCCCGGCAAGGTGGGTCATTATACCCGGCATGAGTTTTTTAAACAATTAATATCTTGCCTCATTATATGTTCTAATTTATTTATTCGACTGCAGGGCAAGTGTTACAGGATTTTGTTCCAGGTTCAAGGTGGGTCATTATACCCGGCATGAGTTTTTTAAACAATTAATATCTTGCCTCATTATATGTTCTAATTTGTTTATTCGACTGCAGGGCAAGTGTTACGGGATTTTGTTTCATAGATTATAGTTTTTTGTTGCACCTGGGATTTTATTCCAATTTTAAAAATCGATGGTTTTGCTATTTTTCTGAAATGGGTTTTCTTAAACAATTTATATCTTAGTTCATTATTTGATATAAATTGTTTAATCGACTGCAGGGCAAGAGTTACGGGATTTTATTCCATAGATTATATCTTTTTGTTGTACCTAGGATTTTATTTAAATTTTATTAGTTGATGGTTTTGCTCGTTTTCTGAAATGGGTTTTCTAAATAATTTATATCCTAGCTCGTTATTTCATATAAATTGTTTATTCGACTGCAGGGCAAGAGTTTCGTGATTTTGTTCCATAGATTATATTTTTTTGTTGCACCTGGGATTTTATTTAAATTTTATAAGTCGATTGTTTCGCTCGTTTTCTCAAATGGAGTTTACAAAATACAATTAAACATTTTTAGTTTATAGTTCAGAATTGTAAGGTTTAAATTTTCAATGTGAATCGACGATGCATTACACTTTTTGACGTTTCTACCTCACTTTGTATTGCAAAATGTTTTTGTTATATAGTATTATATTAATCTGTTAATAAAACGATACATCGGACTCGCTGACGTTTCAGTTATAAATTCCGCAGGATATTTGTAATGTCATATATGTTTGACAGTTGACAGTAGGGGTCAATTCAGCCAATTTACTCAATTTGTGAGATGACAATGATCTCTGCGGGTTTACGCTCCGTAATACTAATGGTCGACATAATTCCGTAAAAGGTGGTCGACCCTCGATTTTTGTCAATTAAGTCGCTTATCCGAATAAAAACGTGCATATGTACATTTCCTATGTACATAACCGCACATACGTACATATGTGCTGTTTATACAAATTTCCGTAAAATGTCGTATGTGGGCATACATGGGTACATATCTGTGCAAATATGTATAATACGTGAACATACATGTATACGTATTTGTGCAATTACGTATAATGCAAGTACGCCCAATTAAATATATTTACATATGCACGTATATGCGGTTTATGCAAATTTCCGTAAAATGCCATATGTGGACATACATGGATACATATTTGTGCAGATATGTGTAATACGTGAACATACATGTATACGCATCTGTGCAAATATATATAATATGTGAACATACACGTATACGTATAATGCAAGTACGCACAATGAAATATATTTACATATGCACGTATGTGCGGTTTATGCAAATTTCCGTAAAATGCCGTATGTGGGCATACATGGATACATATCTGTGCCTATATGTATAATACGTGGACATACATGTATACGTATAATGCAAGTACGCACAATGAAATATATTTACATACACACGTATGTGCGGTTTATGCAAATTTCCGTAAAATGTCGTATGTGGACATACATAGATACGTGTCTGTGCAAACATGTATTATATGCGGCATACATGTATACATATCTGTGCAATTACGTATAATGCAAGTACGCACAATGAAACATATTTACATACACACGTATGTGCGGTTTATGCAAATTTCCGTAAAATGCCGTATGTGGACATACATAGATACGTGTCTGTGCAAACATGTGTAATATGTGGCATACATGTATACATATCTGTGCAAATACGTATACATGTATATGCACATGTATGAATACGTACATATATATCACACTTTCATATCACCTTAAGTGAAGAGAACTGGAGGCAGAGGGACGCGGTTGTCTCTTGACAAAACCCCACATGGCCCCCACGTGTCCATTGTCGAGTTAGCTCTACCCTCATCTGCAGTAAAGGGGGAGCAGTGGCGCCCCCAGCTGATGCTTGGCGTCGCTTTCTTCCGCAGTTCCACTCCGACTCTCGTCCCGTTCGGATCTGCTGGGGAAAAAAGAGCGCAAAGTTCTTCAAACTCGATATTCGAGTGATTAACCCAAAAGTAAGGCTTCTCCAAACAGACGGAAATATCTAATACGGTAAGACATTCATTCTCGAGCGACCATTATCGATTAACATTGATATTTTTATTTTTATTCCTTACATATAACCTTGCAGAAAAATTCCAGAGCTTCGGATTAAAAAATTTATTTAATTACCAAATTTAATACCAAACAAACGGAAATATCTAATATTGTAAGACATTCAGTCTCGAGCGACTATTATTGATTAACAATGATATCTTCATTTTTATTCCTTANGATAGAAGAAATACAATTTACGGGTAAAACGGTACGTAGGGCATATTCTAAGAAAGAGGTTATACCCTAGTAGCATAGAATAATTTCTAAATATTTCTTTGTAATCTTTGCCAAATATCTCGAGCGACAGATTTAGTTAAGATTTCTTGTAGATGTCATTGGAAGATGTTTGAAATATTTCTTGAAAATCTTAATGACACATTTAGTTTCAATAATTTATAAACGTAGAGAAATTATATTTTTTAACTCGTGAACATAATAAAAATAAATTTTTCTAATATTTTCGTTCCGCTATTTCATTATGGGAGCGAAACGTGTGATTTTGATTTTAAATATTTTTAAAACGTTTATCATGTATTCGGCGGATAATATTTAAAAAATACGTGTATTAAAATGAAACGAAATCTTTCGTATGTCTGGTAGAAAAATATTATGGAAACATATGGAGCTAATATCATATAAATATTATAGAGACAATATTCTAAAAAACGGAAATATCTAATATTGTAAGACATTCAGTCTCGAGCGACTATTATTGATTAACAATGATATCTTCATTTTTATTCCTTACATATTACCTTGCGGAAAAATCACAGCGCTTCGGATTTTCAAATTTATTTAATTAGCAAATTTAATGCCAAACAAACGGAAATATCTAATATTGTAAGACATTCAGTCTCGAGCGACTATTATTGATTAACAATGATATCTTCATTTTTATTCCATACATATAACCTTGCAGAAAGATCCCAGATCTGCAGATGTTCAGGATTCTAATATCCTAAATTAAACTCGAAAAGATATCCCAATGAATTTACAAAGTGCACATTTAGGGGAAATAAGGTAAAAGATGTTTATACAAATTTGTGGGAATTAATTCATCCGACGCCGATTTCTTTTATTTATAATTCTGCTTTCCTTTGTCGACCAATATCCCTAAGATGCAAAATTTTTAATATAGCGTCGATATGTAGATAAACACTCTGTAGACATTTTTTAAGATATCGAATTTTGGAATTTATTTGGAATTTCTTTTGGGCGGAGAATTTCATGTTTATGATTTTTTCAAGATGGATTTTTGGGGTATTTATTTTTTAGCACAGGCAGAAGTTTCGTTCTGTTAGTAGATGATGTTTTAATTGTATGTTTCAATGTATCTTCCGAAGTCTGATAAATATTCTTCCGGTATTGATTGGAGGGTCTCTGCATTCTCTGCTTAATACTGTGCGACCTGAAAACGTCGAGTAGCTCGCCGGCGTCCCTGGGTTTCGATTTTTTAAAAGCATCCAAAAATAGAATTATTCTCAGCACCTGCGCTTTATACACTCATAAAAATCCGTGCTCTTATTGGGGGAAAAAAAAAAATTTGACCGGCAAAATGCTCCCGTTAATATTATTCAAAAAAATCAGGGAGAAATCAGCGCGAAAGAAGAAATCCAACTAAAACACATTTTGCAATCTGGGTTTCGATTTTTTAAAAGCATCCAAAAATAAAATTATTCCCAGCACCTGCTCTTTATACACTCATAGAAATCTGTGCTCTCATTGGGGGGAAAAAAAAGAACTAGACATTTATTGTGTAATACGCGTACATACATTGCAGACATTTCATGCAGCAAATGGTCTGCAAATTGTTTGAAAATCGTATTTCCTCATCATATGATGATCATGAATTTCTATCTGGTATCATAATGAATATATAATATGAATTTTATCATATGATCATGAATTTCTGTCTGGGATATTTTTTCTCTATGTAATATAAATAAATGTAATTAAATTAAATTTATATCAATTTATCTTATTAAATGGAAATCATGAATTCCTATCTGGGATGTTTTTTCTCAATGTAATATAAATAAATGTAATTAAATTAAATTTATATCGATTTTTCTTATCACATGGTGATCATACATTTCTATCTGGGATGTTTTTTCTCAATGTAGCTTAGTTAAATTTAATTCAATTTTCCTTATCACATGGTGATCATGAATTTCTATCTCGGTACAGATGATTCCCGAGGCCGAGGTGACTAATCAGAGCTTGGAGAGAACAGCGGACTATCCGGACATGGAGAAGGACAAAGAGAAGGAGGAGTCGGAGGTTCCGGTGATAACGGCGTGGAAAATGTACCAACAAGTTGTCGCCGCTATGGAATCAGCCGGAAGAAGCTACAATCGGACAACAATGCTCGAGGCAATGTTTCGAGGAAACAATTTGGTCTACGCTAAGCAATGACGCTGAGAATCCGATAAGGATCCTTCAACCTGATATCTAGTAGCCAAAAGATAGAATACCTGCGAACGAACCTAAGCATATTCCTAGTCAAGTGTCATAATTTTTATATCTTAATCTCTTATCTATATACTAACTGGCTAGGTGATACCCATTTGTTGTATTAACACATTCGCGACCGCTGACGTGAATTCACGTCTTTTCCATTTCCACTCCTGGTTGCCGGTGACGTGAATTCACGTCATTTTAAATTCTATTCCTGGTTGCCGCTGACGTTAATTCACGTCCATGACGATACACGCAGTAATGATAACGCTGACGTTAATTCACGTCCATGACGATACACGCAGTAATGATAAATATTAAATTTTTATAAAAAAAAAATATTAAACTTTTATAAGTATAAAACAGTTTATATAAACGAAAACGTTTATATAATTTACTTTAAAAAGTATGAAGGATAGAAGAAATACAATTTACGGGTAAAACGGTACGTAGGGCATATTCTAAGAAAGAGGTTATACCCTAGTAGCATAGAATAATTTCTAAATATTTCTTTGTAATCTTTGCCAAATATCTCGAGCGACAGATTTAGTTAAGATTTCTTGTAGATGTCATTGGAAGATGTTTGAAATATTTCTTGAAAATCTTAATGACACATTTAGTTTCAATAATTTATAAACGTAGAGAAATTATATTTTTTAACTCGTGAACATAATAAAAATAAATTTTTCTAATATTTTCGTTCCGCTATTTCATTATGGGAGCGAAACGTGTGATTTTGATTTTAAATATTTTTAAAACGTTTACCATGTATTCGGCGGATAATATTTAAAAAATACGTGTATTAAAATGAAACGAAATGTTTTGTATATCAGGTAGAAAAATATTATGAAAACACACGGAGCTAATATCATATAAATATTATAGAGACAATATTCTAAAGTAAACGTTTTGCAAATATTCCAAATGTCTGGTAAATATTTACAAGATGTAGGATATTCGTTAAATGTATAGAAAATATAGGAGAAATATTTTGTGCTACCAGGGTATCTTTTTCTCGTTAGTGTTTAAATGAAAATGGCAATTATATCTTGCCAATAAATTCATTTCTATTTTTTAGGATATCAGCTATCCAGTTAGTATATACATCAGGGATCTTTCTGGATCCAAGATGGCGGATTAGAAAATAAGTTAGAATAAGAAGGGACGCCGCGTTAAGAGAAGCCCCCGAGGAATTCTTTTTGGAATTCTCTCAGGGATGAGATCTCTCAGCTATGCTCAGCCTTGCCTGGAAAATACTCATCTAAGTAGATAACCTAAAAGCCGGAAGATTCGATTTTTCCTTTCCGTGAAAGAAAGGAAAATCGAGGAAAGCCAAATGCCTGCGAGGAAGAAAAATCACTTTTTGAGCGGGTAATTTGAATCGCACGATCCGATCGTGAATATCTAGTCTATTATCTCTAGTTTATGTCCAATACTCATGATAACGCTTTGTCGACGTGGATTGAAGGTGATAAGTGAATGTCTCTTTATTACGGGAAAATTGATAAGTTTATTTCCATGGCGATAAATGTCCCTAGAATAGTCTAGGGTGAGATTAAATAATTACCTTATTAACGAAATATGAGGAATTAAGGTGATATGAAAAGGGAGTTCTATATGTATATCACCCTTTCATATCACCTTAATGATAAGGAAAATTGTAATGTTCCGATTAATTCCTCTTCGATAATCCCGTTGGTAAGGGCATGCAATACTCGTAATTAATTATAAGAAATTATACTAGAGATTAATAAATGACAAGATTATTAGAAAGATATTTCATTAAAGGATTAGTCATTTCTTTTTTAATATATTACCTGATAGAATTGAGGATATTTGCTGATAAGCGAAATTAGATGTGTTCTAACGAATGTATATTACATGTAATGGTCTTGACCAGTGTTCGGTTAAAAAGAAAGAGGAATATAATGTGTATGTGTAATCAATAATAATTATTGGAATAATTATTATTTAAATTTTATTTTCAACATCCATATGAAATCTCAGAACTGATGCACGAAACTATCTCAAACTCCCGCTATCAGATTTACGTCGATTTTTAATCTCGATTTATATCAGTACATGTAATAAAAAAAAATCCCGCTAATTGTACGAATAGATAAATACATTAAATTAACTAACGCACTCGACTGAATTTAATAACAGACTTTTCAATTAAATATTTCACATTGACAATCTCAGAGTTGATTAGCTAGCCTTTTTTTAGATATGCAAGAAAATATTGTAACGATAGTAATATTGCAGGAAATTGAAATATGAAAGAAAATTGCAATAATTGAACTATGCAAGAATATATTGTAATGATAGTAATGTTGCAAGAAATTGAAAATGCAATGATTGAAATATGCAAGAAAATATTGTAATGATAGTAATATTGCAAGAAATTAAAACTGCGATGATTTAAATATGCAAGAAAATATTGTAATGATAGTAATATTGCAGGAAATTAAAACTGCGATGATTGAAATATGCAAGAAAATATTGCAAAGATTGTAATATTGCAAGAAGTTAAAACTGCAATCATTTAAATATGCAAGAAAATATTATAATGATAGTAAGCAAATAATCCAAATAAATAGACATTCGAACACCATATTGAATCATGAAAAAATGATTTCTTATGAAATCAGTCTACTCGGAATGCCCTGGAAAAATGATTCAACAAGGAAGATAAAAAAAAGTTGACAGGATGAGTTAGAAATATATTTTATTCGACGATTAGTTACTTTCGAAACACAAGCTACAGAATCGTCGACCACGCGACCCCGTTAGGATTAAGTATATCGCATATAATTGCATATAAGTACACATTTATCTCGTAAGTCGGCCTAATTAACCCGAATGCGTTGTAAAGTGACATCCGGCTTAATGGCGACTTTGTGCGTGCATCAAGCACGCACTTGAGGAATTTTAATACATATTTTCAATTTCTATCTAAACCACCACAAGGTGTGTATGTGTGTGTGTGTGTGGGTGCAATTAATTCACTACTACAGCCGGCCTTGATTAAGCCGGGTCTTTAATCGACGAAGCCTCCCCTCTAGATTCCCAAAAAATGAGGAATTCCTCGAATTCCGGAAACGAACCTGCGTCTACGATGCACTAATTATCCACTCCTAATTACTCCTACGCTTTAACAAAATAATAAACGATCGAGACTGTTTCCACTAGAGATCTAGTTGGACTTATCCCTATCCAGGGTCCCTAGACAAAAGTCCGTCTATACGCGCGAGTCTTGTAATTATTTCCCCCGATTGTTTAACATCGTTTAATTGCATTTAATTGTAATTAAGATCGAAATTGAACTCTCGCTCGACTTAAGAATGCCGAAAAAGTTCCCAGATAGAAATTCATGATCGTCATGTAATGAGGAATGTCGATTTACAAACAATTTGCTGCATGAAATGTCTGCAATATATCTACGCATATGATTATAATAAATTTCAAAAAGATAATCGAAAATCACATTTTCTTGGAGTATTCCAGATAGAAATTCTTGATTATCAATTATTCATCAATTTAATTCATCATTTTTATTCAATTATTCAATTCATGATTATCAATTATTCATCAATTTAATTCATCATTTTTATTCAATTATTCAATTCATGATTATAATCAGTTTATTATTTATAATAAACTTCAAAAAGATAATCGAAAATGACATTTTCTTGGAGTATTCCAGATAGAAATTCGTGATTATCAATTATTCATCAATTTAATTCATCATTTTTATTCAATTATTCAATTCATGATTATAATCAGGATAATCGATTAACAAACAATTTGCTGCATGAAATGTCTGCAATATATGTGCGTATATGATATAATAAATGTTAAGAAAAATTCGCGGTAAATTTGTCATTAATAATTACAGCAATATATTTACCGCATACTCGAGTCATATGCCAATTATGCTGTAATCGACATTTATGAGCTGAAAATTTATGAACAATTTACCAGGAGCTGTAACATCATTCCGTGACATTAATTTCCGGACATTGTATGAAGTTAATTAATGCCCTCACTTCATGATTGTTTATGAGGCAAATTTTATGCAAATTTTGAATCACTTTTTCTATCTGGGTTGCCATAATTTTCTTTCTCCTCTCTGGAAGAAAAAAGTAATCGAAAAGGACATTTCCCTTGGAGTACATTCACAAGAACAATATATTTACGTACGTAAATTTATGTACAATATATTTATATATCGTTCTTGTATTATAAATTTTATATAATATATTTTCGTCGGCGGATGAGGCTCGATTAATATTAAAATTAATCATCGAGTACTCAATGATAAAATTATGGGCGGTGGTAAGTACGTGTACGTAAGTAAGAAAATCATCCTCTGTACAATTAGACGTGCCACAGGACCTTTAAACAAATATAAATATGGCCGAAACGTTAACAACAAAACTCGTCACGCCTCGTTTCTCGAATGTACAAATTCCCACGTCTGGATATGATACAATTTTAATAATTAATTATCTACGCTTTTCTTTCTACTCGTAGACAGTGATATGTATCGTGTGCATGTCAATTATTTACACACTGCTTAGTAAAAGTAATGCCAAAACCCAGAAATCAAAATCGTGCATATCAGATATGCATCAGATAATATTATTTATAATTACCGAGATATGATGAATTTTCCTCTCATTGTGCTGAACGTTATTAGTAACCATATGTATCGTTTAGCGCAATGAACTAAACGTTATCAGTAATCACATGTATAGTTCAGCACAACGAACTAATCGTTATCAATAACCACGTGTATCGCGTTCAGCACAATTAACTAATCGTTATCAGTAATCACATGTATCGTTTAGCACAATGAACTAATCGTTATCAGTGACCACATGTATCGTTCAGCACAATGAACTAATCGTTATCAGTGACCACATATATCGTTTATCAGAATGAAAGGAAATTTTTTCTCTGACCATATCTCGGTAATTATAAATAATGTTCAGACCAAAATTGAATCACCATTTTTATACTATTCTAAGCGATGTATATTTATCTCTGATACCTACGTTTTTTTATTTTAGGATGTTGCGACTTTTTTCAGTGTATATTAATGGGGTCGGTTGATTCTGAAATGCGTGTAATCAAAGTGAGTACATACTGAAGTGAGCACGTACTCCCTTACTAGCCAATTATCATGGATTACTGATAGTACTGAAAAAAAAATAAATATATAAGAAGAGAAAGGTTCGGGAGATTTCGCACGATGAGACTTCGTCCGTCTAGACCTTTTTCGTCTAGGGTCCCTAGAGTCTACGGACTTCTACTTAGTTAAGGTGATATGAAAGGGGCATTCTATAAAAAAATCGTGAAAATATTTATTAAAAATTTCTCTCCAAACCGGGTGGATCAAACAATTAGAAACATTAGCACGCGATTATGTAGGCCCTCAGAAAAAACACGATGCTCGTGAAATTTCATTAAAAAAAAAAAAAAACTAATCCTAGTTCGTCTGGGATAAATAAAAAACAATTCTTTTTTTTTCTGAAAAATAAAATTTCACGATCATCGCTTTCTTCCTTAGGGCCTTCCTTATCAATTGGTGATGTTTCATATGATACGGTGCACCCAGATTGGAGAAAGGTATTATTTATTTATTTATATATATATTTTCACGTTTCGATGTATAGGATGACCCTTTAATATCATCTTAATAATACTTTCTCGACAAGGGGAACGATTCGAATACTAAGTTTGACTCCTGGGGTCAAAAGGGACCCCGGGTCTGCTCTTATGTACATGATGCTCTAGAACAATGTCGCGTAATTACTTGTAAATGCATTCGGGGCATCGATACGCGTCAGGTTTAATTTAAGGTAGTCGTAGCACCATCGAACGATCGATGATCCATGATCGATCGGCGATCGGGGGCGAAGGCACCATTTCGGAGTGAACCACGGCTCCAAAAATCCCTAGGAATATGTCTTCCAAATTTCTCTATCCGGGCTATCACTTCCAGATCGATATTCCAATCGACTCAAGGGTCGCAAAATATATCAGACCTGTCTATAAATACGTACCGTTGAAATATCAAAATATTTGTTCATAGATTTGTGTCAAATGAGGGATCGAAAAAGTGAGTCCGAATTTTGGAAGAAATTAAGGTGATATGAAAGGGACAGTGTTGGACTGTTTAAATATTAAAACATTTTATATAGATTTGATTCAAATGAAGAATCGAATTTTGGAAGAAATTAAGGTGATATGAAAGGGTCAATTTTGAACCGTTTAGATATTAAAACATTTTATATAGATTTGTTTCAAATGAAGAGTCGAAATCTTGGACCGTTTAAATATAATAACATTTTACACAGATTTGTTTCTAATGAAGAATCGAAATATTGAGTCCGATTTTTGGAAAAAATTAAGGTGATATGAAAGGGACAGTGTTGGACTGTTTAAATATTAAAACATTTTATATAGATTTGTATATAATGAACAATTGAAAACCTGAGCCCGAATTTCGGAAGAAATTAAGGTCATATAAAATGGTCAAGTATTTCTTTCTCAGTATTTTATCTTTTGTTTGAGGAAGAGTATATATGCATACGAAAGCCCTTTTGTTGCCCTACTATTTTATTTCTTTCTCGGTATTTTGTCTTTTGTTTGAGAAAGGGTATATATGCATTCGAAAGCCTTTTTCTTGCTCTACATATCTATAGGCATAGTTTTTCTTAAAAGCTTAAGGTGATGTGAAAGTGGCTTGCAGAGGTCTCATTTATGAAATTTTTCTCCAAACTGGGTGTACCAAATTATTTAAAACTAATACGTGATTACGGAGGCTCTAAGGAAGAAAAATTTCATTTTTCTTAAAAAAAAAAATTTCTCTTTTTCGTTCTCGTCCAAGATAAGTACACATTGTTTTTCGAAAAAATGAAATTTCTCGAGCAGCGCGTTATTCCCTAGGGCCTCCGCAATCACGTGTTAAAGTTCCAGATAATTCTCAGCACCCAGTTTGTAGGAAAGTTGTATAAACATTTTGACTTTTAGTTATGTACATATCACGCAATCACATCACCTTAAGTCCTTAAGAAAAGCGAAAAGAAAACGCAAGAAAAGGGTCTCTCGAATGCCATATATACCCTTTGCCAAGGGCAAAATGGCGAGAAAGAACTAATAAAATAAAATAAAATAAACCGCTGAAACTTACGGATGAACCCCAACAGGTTCCCGTTAATTACAGCCCTAGGAAGCATTTCCAAATTTCTAAGGACAGACTTTCCCAGATTTTCGGAGCGGCGGAAAGAAGGGAACCAAAATGGCGGCCGGGGCCCCGCGGCTTCCCGATCGACTTCGGATCTCAGGACGGCAGGATGTCCAATTCCATGACACTTTGAGTCCCAGCCTGTAAGCCCCCGTCCTCGCTCTTGTGCACCAGGACATCCTTAAAGTGGGAGAGGGTCTGATGTGGCCCCACCAGAGGGTTCCTGGGCAAGGTAGCGATGGGGTTGGTGTCCTTGCTCTTGAACAGCTTCTCCATCTTGTGAATCCCGTTCTCCGACTCGGAGTTGTGCCTCCTCTTGGGGTCCGAATCCGCCAGGGTGGGTCCCGACTCCTTGTCCTCGAGGTAGGTGACGGTCTGCATGGAGACGGTGTTCCTCCTATCCTTGAAGAGCGACCTGGGGTTCAGGGTAACCTCCCTCGCAGATCCGAACCTCTTGAAGTTGGCCAGCTGATCGACGGGGCCGTTCGCGAAGCTATCGGCATGATAGGGCTCTGAGATTCTCTTCTCGATCTTGATCTCCGTGACGTTCTGCCTGATCAGAAGATCCGGGGCGGCTTCCGGGAGAGGTTCCTGGGAGATGGGTGGCCAGGTGTGGTCCCTCGCCAGGTCCCTCTCTATCCCCAGGAACTTCCGCCTGGACTTGTCTATGTTGTGCCAGCGGTACCTCAGCTTCCCGAAGACGATGTACTCGACGAAGAAGTGCTCGACGAACATGGAGACCAGGAAGTTGACCAGCCCGTAGAGGAGCAGGACGAAGCGGAACCCCACGCTCTCCGGGAGGACCAGCTCGAAGTAGTCCACCAAGAGGTCGAACGGTCCCAGGGCGAGGTAGACGTTGAATGCCGTGATGAGGATGAACGACCCAAGGAGTCCGTAGTTCGTGAAGAGGGACTTCCTGTACGGGTATCCCTTCGAGAACACCACGGCCAGGGTTATGTACTGCATCGAGCTCACCACGAAGATGGCGTAGTTCTCCAGGCACCCCACGTTGTCGTTATCCTCCCCTACCTGGCCACTGGAGTTGTAAGGAACATACCACTCCATTTGCTGGAGGTGGTTGAAGCTGGCGCATTGGAAGACTATCGCTATCATTATCTGCATCACCAGGCTCAGGATGGGCGAGACGCTTATCAGGCTGGTCAGGGGAGGCTCCTTCGCCAGGGGGCCGTCGTATGCCTTCGTCCTGCCGAAGAAGAACGCGAATATCGAGATGATGAACAGGTCGATGTAGAGGAACTCGATGTCCGTCAGGTTGGACTCTATGCTGTAGAGGATCATCACGGAGATGAACTGCGTAAGCGAGTAGGCTGCCATGTACTTGAAGATGCCGAAGGATGTCACCAGGGCTGCTCTACCTTCTCTGATGACGGTCAGGACGCAGGATATGTTGGTCTCCCTGCTCGTGAACGGCGATGCCACCGATGACTCCGTGTCTGATAAGGATATCCCCGTATGGGCAGCTTTCAGAGCTCCGCAGTCGTTCGCTCCATCGCCCACCATTGCTGAAGACATAACAATTGTATGAAATATCGCGATTTTTAAGAAATATATATATATATATTCTACCCTAGGTGAAATTTCAACCCTTATTTGCACTTGCGTCACTTAAGGGGATGTGAAAGCGCCATCCGAAAGCTCAATTGTTCATAAAACTTTTCATAGAACTGGGTGCCTCAAATCGTCTCATACTTTAAAACGTGAATATGGAGACCATAAGGTAGGTCCTGAAACTCCCGAAATTTTATTTTTTATAAACTATTTTTAAAATACCTGTAAACAAATTTGAAAAGAATTGAAATTTCATGAGTTTCAGGACCTTCCTTATAGTTTATCTATTCACGTTGTAAAGTTTCAAACTATTCGGTTAACCGAATTGGGAGAAATGTTTTATAAACTAAATCTCTTCGACGCCATCTTCGAATGAAATCTAAAAGAAATCTTAAAAAATCTATCGCTTGAGATATTTAGCAAAGATTACAAAGAAATATTTAGAAATTATTCTATGCTACTAGGGAGGCTTGTAAGTAAAATCAAAATTTCAACTTGGGAGTGTCTACATCAATACAGCATTATTTCTTCCGTGTACATGTTACTGTATGGTATCAGAAGTTTGAAACGTTATATGAAACTTTCTTCGGGATTCTTACCGACATAGTATCCTAGAGATTGAAGTTCCTGGACCAATTGCTGCTTCTGATCCGGAGACATTCTAGCAAAGACGGCTCCTCTAGTCGCTAATTTGGGAATCAGTTCAGGATAATGTTGCTTGATCATCGCCCATGTCTTTCCAGTCAATGAGAATACGTACTTGCTATTCACATGGTGGACACTGAGAAAGAAAGATATCACATTTAACGCCTTCGCTGATATTAACGCCTGTACAAATTTTGGTCTTTGTTGACATTAATTAACAGTGTTTTGACATTCGACATTGGGTATTCACTCATGAAATCATTGATTTTAACCTAGAAATCATATGGAAATCAGCCAGGCGTCACCTAGTACCGAATCGTATTGTCGCCTATCATATGAAATCAAAGAGAATTGGTTCTTCTTTGGAATTGATAACGTTAAACTGTAACGTCAATGCACAGCGAGAGGGTATTCACTCATGAAATCATCGATTTTAACCCAGAAATCATATGGAAATCAACCAGATGTCATTCATTACCGAATCGTATTGTCGCCTATCATATGAAATCAAAGACAATTGGCTCTTCTCTGGAATTGATAACGTTAAACTGTAACGCCGGTGCACAGCGAGAGGGTATTCACTCATGAAATCATCGATTTTAACCCAGAAATCCTATGGAAATCAGCTGGAAATCAGTCAGACGTTACTTATTATCGAATCGCATTTTCGCCTATCATATGAAATCAAAGAGAATTGGTTCTTCTCTGGAATTGATAACATTAAACCGTAACGTCAGTGCACAGCAAGAGGGTATGCACTCATGAAATCATCGATTTTAATCCAGAAATCATATGGAAATCAGCTGGAAATCAGTCAGACGTTATTCATTACCAAATCACATTGTCGCCTATCATATGAAATCAAAGACAATTGGCTCTTCTCTGGAATTGATAACGTTAAACCGTAACATCAGTGCACAGCGAGAGGGTATGCACTCATGAAATCATCGATTTTAACCCAGAAATCATATAGAAATCAGCCAGACGTCACCTATTACCAAAACACATTGTCGCCTATCATATGAAATCAAAGACAATTGCCTCTTCACAGAAACTGATAACGTTAACCTGCAACATCAGTGCTCGGCCGACCATAGGCGATAGGGTTCCTTATGCTACTTAATGTACAATACGAAGTTTCAATAAAAAAACATGGATAAAGATGGTTTTCTGGTTCCAACACGTACTCGTCAGATAAGTAGTTATCATCGTTCTCCATTTTGTTGGTGAAGGACCCGCTCTCGATGGTCTCCAAACTGGCGACACTGTTGACGTCCGTCATCTCGCTGATGTCAGCCTGCTTAGCCGGAGAAGTAGGAATCTGTTGGCTGTTGCTTTTGGTAAAGTACAGCTGAGGCTTCAATTGATTCTGCTGCGTCGTCGCCGCCACGGCGATGACGGTCACGTTCGGCTTGATGATACCGCAATCACGGGCGACGGAAAGAGCCGTCAGCATGTTGTCTCCGGTTACCATGACGGTCTTTACGCAGGCGACATTTAGGGCCACTATCACCGGGGAAGTCTCTGGTTTCAGTCTGTTCTCCAGGATGACAAAGCCCAAGAAATTCAACTCCGTCTCGGCGGCCTCTCGGTTCAACCTCTGCACCTTGGCGTAAGGAAGACGATTTAGGGACTTGTAGGCCAGGGCTATCACCCGATAACCCTCGGACGTGTATTCCTGGAGCACGGCAGCGAAATCCGAAGGGACTGAAACATCATTCATGAGGACTTAGAACAATCTCAGCGGACTAGAACCCTCTGGGGGAGGGTTTGAACGCATTAGAAATCATTTATACAAAGTCATTAGCACTAGGGCCTCCATAATCCCGGGTTGAAGTGTCAAATGATTCGGTGTACTCATTTTGGAGGAAAGATTTATCAATATTTTGACGTTTTCGTATATAGAATTTTTGGGGATTTATAGGCCAGGACTATCACCCGATAACCCTCGGACGTGTATTCTTGGAGCACGGTAGAGAAATCCGAAGGGACTGAAACATCATTCATGAGGACTTAGAACAATCTCAGCGGACTAGAACCCTCTGGGGGAGGGTTTGAACGCATTAGAAATTATTTATGCAACATCATTAACGCTGACTAACTAATCAGCGGACTAGAACTCGCTGGAGGAGGGTTTTGAACGCATTCGAAATTATTTATGCAACATCATTAACACTGACTGACTAATCAGCGGACTAGAACCCGCTGGAGGAGGGTTTTGAACGCATTAGAAATAATTTGTATAAAATCATTAACACTGATTAACTAATCAGCGGACTAGAACCCACTACAGAAGGGTTTTGAACGCATTAGAAATAATTTGTATAAAATCATTAACACTGACTAACTAATCAGCGGAGTAGAACCCGCTGGAGGAAGGTTTTGAACGCATTAGAAATAATTCGTATAAAATCATTAACACTGACTAACTAATCAGTGGACTAGAACCCTCTGGAGTAGCGTTTGAACCCATTAGAAATTAATTATGCAACATCATTAACACTGACTAACTAATCAGCGGACTAGAACTCTCTGGAGGAGGGTTTTGAACGCATTAGAAATAATTTCTATAAAATCATTAACACTGACTAACTAATCAGCGGACTAGAACCCTCTGGAGTAGCGTTTGAACCCATTAGAAATTAATTATGCAACATCATTAACACTGACTAACTAATCAGCGGACTAGAACTCTCTGGAGGAGCGTTTGATCGCATTAGAAATAATTTGTATAAAATCATTAACACTGACTAACTAATCAGCGGACTGGAACCCTCTGGAGGAGGGTTTGAACGCATTAGAAATCATTTATACAAAGTCATTAACACTAGGGCCTCCATAATCGCGTGTTGAAGTTTAAAATGATTCGCTGCATACATTTTGGAGGAAAGTTTTATCAATATTTTGACGTTTTCATATATAGAATTAGAATAGAAATAAAATCAGGATTTGATAAGCTGAGCTCAATATTTACCTAAGTGCATCATAAACAATGTACATCAGAGTAAGGACGAAAAAACGCAAAACCTAATTACACTTCCTGGGTTCAGGATTTGATAAGCTGAGCTCAATACTTACCTAAGTGCATCATAAACAATGTACATCAGAGTAAGGACGAAAAAACGCAAAACCTAATTACACTTCCTGGGTTCAGGATTTGATAAGCTGAGCTCAATACTTACCTAAGTGCATCATAAACAATGTACATCAGAGTACGGAATATATAATACACTTACTGGATTCAGGTTTTGATAAGCTGAGTATCATTTCAGGGCTGCCTTTGCAGAAGAGGTCGTAATGGTTGGCTCCCAAGGTCCTGGTGATGACGCTCATCCTCTGCAAGCTGGAGGTGAACGGGAATTGTCTGACGATACCAACCTCCAGGCCCTGCTCGGCGATGCCATTGGTGGAAGACATCAACACCATATCCATGTTGTTCATAGAGGAATTATCTACAACATCAGACCCCATGGAGTTCTGCCTAGCTGGTGAGACATCACTGGAGAACCCCCTGTTGAGTTTGGATCCTTTGGGAGGCCTGACCACCGTAGGGAACAAGAGGGAGAATTTGGAGGTATCCGAGACATCGGGTTCCTCCAGAGTCCACTCGGTGGATTCGAACATCTTCAGGTCCAAGGGATCCCCTGCTAGCTGGCCGTCTATGATGGTTATCCCATGGCAAGTGACCATGCCGATGAGGAGCTTATCAAGGGGCAGAGAGGGAACGTCTTTGATGGGGAGCTGGAACTTCTTCCCGGAGACCGGGACCACTCCCCACATGTCCAGGCCGTCTTCCGTCAGGGTCCCGGTCTTGTCGAAACAGATGCAATCGATGGACCCGGAGACGTTGATGGCTCTGGGGCTGGTGCAGTAGATCCGCTTCTTCTCCAGTCTGTTCTGGGCTACCAGTCTGCCCACTGTCATGGCTGCAGGAAGGGCTGGGGGCACGACTATGGTGATCAGGTCCAGAGCCTGGACGGCTATGTGGCTGGCCGGCACTCCTCGCAGCGCCTTTGTCACCAGGGTGTACACCACACCTATGCTGGCTATGCAGGCCAACAGGACGACGAACTTGTAGGAGTCTTGCTCGAACTTAAAGTCCACCGGTGGAGGGTACATGATGGATCTGACCAGACCACCCTTGCTGGTGCTGAACCCCGTCCTGATGACGACGGCCAGCACCTTCTCGCTACCAAAGTACCGCGTTTGGATGATCTTCGTACCGCAGAAGAGCGTGTGTCTGGCGTGTTCTTTCGAGTCGTATAGGATCTCGTTGGATGATGGGATTGGTGTCTTTGTTACCGGCACCGATTCCCCGGTTAGCATCGACTCGTTGATGATGCAGTTCCCGGTCAGGAGGACGGCGTCGCAGGGCATTAAACAGCCGTGGGATGGAATCGCCAGGATGTCGCCAGGAACCAATCGCTCTGCTGGCACCGTTGCTGTCTCCCCGGATGTCCGGTCCCTTATCACTGTGGCCACGTCCGAGGAATGGACCGTGGAACGCAAGTTGTCCTGGTTCTGCGGATTGTCATTGATTAAGGCTTAACGTTATCGACTCTTGGGTCAATCACTGGGTACCACTTACTTACTATAATTATATAGAATAATAAATAATATCATCGTATTCATATTACTTCGCCGTTATGTATATATCACCTTAAGGTGATGTGAAAGTGTGGTATACATAAGAAAAAGTGAAAATGATTATACAACTTTTCTCCAAACTGGGTGCACCTAATTATCTGAAACTTTAACACGTGATTATGGAAGCTCTAAGGAATAACGCGCTGCTCGTGAAAATTCTTTTTAAGAGAAAAATTTTCCACTTATCTCGGATAAGAACCAAAAGGTATTTATTTAAAAAAAAAATGAAATTTCACGGGCAGTGGGTTTTTTCTTAGAGCCTCCATAATTATGGGTTGAAGTTTTGGATAATTTGGTGCATACAGTTTGGAGAATGGTTTTATAAATATTTTGAATTTTTTGGTATGTGTATAATACACTTTTATGTCACCTTAAAGATTAATGCTTTCATGTTCAATTGGACCTACCCTACGAGTCTGCAAAACTGCCATAATGATTCCGCACACCGACATGGCCAAGATAGCTAATGCATAGTGCAAATAGTCATCGGAGATCCAGAGACAAAAGCTGAAGATTTGGAAGACGTAAAATGGATTCAATACTTCCAAAAAGAAGAGTGTCAGGAAACTCTTCACCGGAATCATGATCTCATTATTCCCGTAAACGTTCCGCCTGGAAGAATGAAATTATTACTAATATTACTCGAAAGGAACGACATTAATCCTGTTAAGGTGAAGTGGAAAAAGAAATGATTATTACTCAAAAGAAGCAACAATAATCCTGTTAAGGTGAAGTGGAAAAAGAAACACTTGTTACTCGAATGAAGTGTGATTAATTCTGTTAAGGTGAAGTGAAAAAGAAACACTTATTATTCGAAAGAAGCGACATTAATCCTGTTAAGGTGAAGTGGAAAAAGAATCACTTATTACTCGAAAGGAGCGACATTAATCCTGTTAAAATGAAGTGGAAAAAGAAACACTTGTTACTCGAAAGAAGCAACATTAATCCTGTTAAGGAGAAGTGGAAAAAGAAACATTTATTACTCAAAAGAAGCAACAATAATCCAGTTAAGGTGAAGTGAAAAACACTTTTTACAAAACACTTATTACTCGAATGAAGTGTGATTAATTCTGTTAAGGTGAAGTGAAAAAGAAACACTTATTATTCGAAAGAAGCGACATTAATCCTGTTAAGGAGAAATGGAAAAAGAAACCTTTATTACTGGAAAGAAGCGATATTAATCCTGTTAAGGTGAAGTGGAAAATGAAACACTTATTACTCGAAAGCATGTGTCAAAGTGTCGGACAGTTCTATCGAATACCCTTAATAAAAGTGTCTTATTCGAGTCGACTGATTTGAGGGGAGTTTCACTTCACCTATTAAGATGATCCCATATAATCCCATATAATACAATATAATTAAGGGAATCCCATATAATATCGACAGATCATACCTCATAAATTGTTCTTGAAAGCTGAGGCCGGGCATTTGATGTAATGTCGCTGTCGGGACTCCAGCATCAAGACCTTTAAGCTTAAGAAATTCTCCTCGTTCGGTGTCCCAAACGTAGGTCAGTTTTTTGCACTTGAATGTAATTATAGAAGGAACCGCTGCAAATGAATTCAATTGAAACGTTAAACTGTGACCGTGCAAAGTAATGTTACGAGTTTATTTTAACTTTTACTTAGGAAATTGGTAATATCAGAGATAAATGTTATAATATACGGCGCGAAACATCTCTGGTAATAATTACTTTTAAAGTGACCACCGATCAGATGAACGGACAACATCGGCGGAAGTCCTTTGTCTTCCTTGATTGTGATGACGTTCCCATTTTCGGCCCATTTTTCACTCTCCATCAGGGTGTACTCGTCTGAGGAGGCATTCCTGGAAGAAAACGTTTCTCAGACTCGACAAAATGTACCATTGTTTTTCAAGGAGCTAGAACACTTCCTTCGAAATGCCGTCGTTTTAATATTTTTCGATATTTTTAGATAATTCCAGTGGTTGGTGGTCCCATGGTTTTTGGCCATTAGTACCAGGAAGGAAACTTCTTCCCCCACGTGTATATCAATAATGGCAATACTGACGAGACTTCTTGGGCCCTTAAGGTCTTTAATTTCTTCACGTAAAAGGTGGTGTGCCTTCCCTGGAACCTCTCCACCCAAATCCCAATCCCAATTAAATCCCAAAAATCGTCATTTTGGCCATTAGTATCAGGAAGGAAACTTCTTCCCCCACGTGGATATCAACAATGACAATACTAACGACAGGTTGTTTGTTACTAAATCCCAAAAATCGTCTTTTTGACCATTAGTACCAGGAAGGAAACTTCTTCCCCCACGTGTATATCAACAATGACAATTCTAACGACAGTTTGTTTGTTATTAAATCCCAAAAATCGTCTTTTTGACCATTAGTACCAGGAAGGAAACTTCTTCCCCCACGTGTATATCAACAATGACAATACTAACGACAGGTTGCTTGTTCTTAAATCCCAAAAATCGTCGTTTTGGCCGTTAGTACCAGGAAGGAAACTTCTTGCCCCACGTGTGTATCAACAATGACAATACTAACGACAGGTTGTTTGTTATTAAATCCCAAAAATCATCGTTTTGGCCGTTAGTACCAGGAAGGAAACTTCTTCCTCCACGTGTATATCAACAATGACAATTCTAACGACAGTTTGTTTGTTATTAAATCCCAAAAATCGTCGTTTTGGCCATTAATACCAGGAAGGAAACTTCTTCCCCCACGTGTATATCAACAATGGCAATACTAACGACAGGTTGCTTGTTCTTAAATCCCAAAAATCATCGTTTTGGCCATTAGTATCAGGAAGGAAACTTCTTCCCCCACGTGGATATCAACAATGACAATACTAACGACAGTTTGTTCGTTATTAAATCCAAAAAATCGTCGTTTTGGCCATTAGTACCAGGAAGGAAACTTCTTCCCCCACGTGTATATCAACAATGGCAATACTAACGACAGGTTGCTTGTTCTTAAATCCCAAAAATCGTCGTTTTGACCATTAGTACCAGGAAGGAAACTTCTTGCCCCACGTGTATATCAACAATGACAATTCTAACGACAGGTTGCTTGTTCTTAAATCCCAAAAATCATCGTTTTGGCCGTTAGTACCAGGAAGGAAACCCCCACGTGTATATCAACAATGACAATTCTAACGACAGGTTGCTTGTTCTTAAATCCCAAAAATCATCGTTTTGGCCGTTAGTACCAGGAAGGAAACTTCTTCCCCCACGTGTATATCAACAATGACAATACTAACGACAGGTTGCTTGTTCTTAAATCCCAAAAATCGTCGTTTTGGCCGTTAGTACCAGGAAGGAAACTTCTTCCCCCCACGTGTATATCAACAATGGCAATACTAACGAGACTTCTTGGGCCCTTAAGGTCTTCAGTTTCTTCACGTAAAAGCTGGTGTGCCTTCCCTGGAACCTCTCCACCAGCAGCACCGTTTCGGCCTCATCTGCTGGACATTTCGAATGGGTGGCCAGAAGCATCAGGTGGGGTACCCAATGGAAGAACAATCGAAGCAATCCTCCGGTGAGAATAATCAGGAACCAGGTGACGCCGGTGAGAATTCGGTTCCTTTTATACCTGGATCAGATCCAATGTTAAGGTGATACGACGATCACTTAAAACTTTACAAGGTGAATTTGGAAGCTATGAAGAAGGTCCTTATACTCATGAAATTTCCATTTTTTTTTATAGCAAATTTAAAAAACATCTATGAACAAATTTTTAAGAAATTGAAATCTCGTGAGTTTCAGGACCTTCCTTATAGCCTCCATATTTACATTGCAAAGTGTGAATCGATTCAGTCCATAATTATATTGTATTATATGTGCCTATAATTATGAAAGTGGTCTAAGTCATATATTTTTTGTTTCGAAATTACATTGAATTAATTTCGTTTGAAATAATATGGCGTGAAATAACTGATAAACTCATTTTTTTATCATTTTGACTTAGACCACTTCCATAATTATGGGCACATATATACCTTCCACAATTATATTGTACTGTATATACCTTCCACAATTATACTGTATTGTATATACCTTCCACAATTATATTGTAAAGCCTAAATTAATTCAGTTCCCCACAGTTTGGAGAAAAGTTTTATAAACAAGAACTCCTAGGGGCACAATTGCGCCCTAGAGTGTCGCTCTGGTTAGAACTGTTAAATCAGAGTTTTTGATAGAACTATTGTCATTTACTAAAATCAAATAAACATTTTACATTAATAAAACATTTTACTTTAATAAATTAAACATATTTCTTTGTTTGGATGAAATGAAACGTTCCCTCGGGATACAATTGCGCCCTAGAGTGCCGCTCTGGTTAAAACTGTTGAACCCATTGTGATGATAGAGAGGGATGAACGAAGGGGAAAAAGAACAAGTCAGCTGCAGTTGAAAAGAATTCAATCTCCCAGCTTCTGTACTTTCGTCATGACGGATCTAAGCAAATGGAACGATGCCAAGCACGTACCCGTAAATCTCCATCTGGTCCTCTTCACCTGGGTTGATGTAGTCGACTCCGTTCTTGAGGTGGAGGAGGCCATTGCCTCTGGTTCCTGAAATTAACGGCGTGATATAGATTGGATGATGACGCTAATATACAATGGTATATGTGTAATATACAATTGGTAATAACCCATCCTAGCGGAATCCCATAAACGGGAGGAGGGATAATGATACCCTACAAGGCAGGTTAAGGTGATATGAAAGTGTGATATATACGTAACAAAAAGTCAAGGCATTAATAAAATTCTCTGAACCTGCACCAAATTATTTAAAACTTTAACGCGTGATTATGGAGGCTCTTAGGAAGGACGCGCTGCTCGTGAAATTTCATATTTCGAAAGAAAAATATTATTTTCTTGGTTCTTATCCGAGATAAGTACATTTTTTTCGAAAAAAGAAATTTCATAAGCAGCGCGTTCTTCCTTAGGGCCTCCATAATCACGTGTTAAGGTTTCAGATAATTCGGTGCACCCAGATTGGAGAAAAGTTTTATAAGTATATTACCTTTTTGTTATATTGTTGTATATATATATAACTTTCATATAACCTTAATAGCCAATGGCCAAGTTTGTTCTAGCACATGTGTGCGAACTCAACCCATTACAATATGAGCGGTCCATAACCACGTGCCCGGATAATTTATGGCCTTGTACCAGGTAAGGTAATCATTAAGCCGTAGTTGGTATCATTATTTTTTCAACTATGATTATCGTACACCCGAGGAAATCATTCAAAAGATCGGTCGATCAATGTAAAGGTCCGCGTTCTCTTGGAGAGATGGAATAGAAGAAATGGAATATTACAGAGTCAGATGGAAAAATATGGGAAATACTTCCACAAATGATTCCAAGAGAATGCTGGCTCGTCTCGGAGATAATGCAGGTTTTTAGAGGAAAAATTTAGTTCCAATTAAACGTCACAGATGGCGACGTTGGTCCTAAACAGTCGTTAGAATAATGAATTTCCGGGATTTCCACAGTTTTACGTCGATCTCTTCCTCATTACTTTCCCGAAATGAGATATGGAACGCTTCAGTTCGTATAATTATCAACGTAGACTGTAAAAGACTTCAAAATAAACAATTTAGAATACCGTATAAATGGAATATTACAGATTCAGATGGAAAAATATGGGAAATACTTCCACAAATGATTCCAAGAGAATGCTGGCTCGTCTCGGAGATAATGCAGGTTTTTAGAGGAAAAATTTAGTTCCAGCTAAACGTCACAGATGGCGACGTTGGTCCTAAACAGTCGTTAGAATAATGAATTCTCGGGATTTCCACAGTTTTCCATCGATCTCTTCATCATTACTTTACCGAAATGACGTATGTAACGCTTCAGTTCGTATAATTATCAACGTAGACTGTAAATGACTTCAACATAAATATAAATGTCGGTAACGTGACGCGCCAACCAATGTTCCTTCCACTTGGGTATTCAAAATGACGTTCCCACCAAGAAGAGTATGATGAATTTTAATTTCTCAGCGCCTTTCATATCACCTTAATACTTTCAATACCAAGATCATTCTTACCCTCCAGTAGTTCGGTCTTCTGTTCGCGCTGGTGTTCCGCCCCGGAACCGGAGTTCCTGTTCCCAAAAGCGTTGTAGGCATTGCGAGCAAAGCCCAGGTTCAGTTTATTCGGAGTGGCAGGCATGGCGTCTTTTTAGTTTAATCCAGGAGTAGCAACTCTCAATACCCAACAAAGTGGGCTTAGTAGCTACTGTACCTAGCCGTCCCTATCGTTCGTTCGACAGCACCTCGTTTAGCAACCAACAGCACGACTACCTCGCTAATTCGTAAGAGCTAGTGATTATTGTCAGTGGAGAACCGTATCGGCACCACCGAGACCAGCCGACCTGGTCAATCCGTGGGATCCAACAATAGGACACTTAGCCCTAACCCAAGGGAGCGTGAGATTTGGTAGAATGTGGTTAGATCTGGTAGGATCAGTTTGGATATCCGGTCCACCCCGAATAGTGCCGGGTCTTTCGGACTCCACCGGCACCCTAATCAAAGTCCCTCTACGGCAACGCCGTCTGCTACCGACACCGGTGTCCAGCCATTTTCGGGTCCCTCTTTAATGTCCTAGCACCGACACGACGACGACCTCCTCGCATCTGATGGGCATGGACCTCGGAGTGGACCCCACGACGACGACCGGCGCGTGGAGCGGCCTTTACGCCCCTAAGGATAAGTACAGCCGGTGCCCCAGTTCCCCAGGATACCCCTCCAACGATCTGCCCAACAGCACAAGGGGCCCTTCCTGGGTAGCTTCGGAGTTCCGCTTCTGGTAGAGACTTGGAGCCAGGAGTCCAGGGCGCAGCCTCGACTTCCAGGGGAGGAAGGACCCTTTCCCGAAGGTTGGACCCTGTCGCGGGTCCCGATGTCCCTGCGGGGAGTCCCCGGGGTCCTTCTTCAGGAGGGCATGGGAAGGGACGACTTGGTAGAATCCGAAGCTGATGCTATCGCTTCGGGATTTTCTTCTCGTCTCCGGATGGGTGTCAGTCCCCGGGGTCGGCGAGTTTCCGCCAGCCGATTCTGGGAGTGGTGACCGCCCGTTCGCCCTCGCTCATCCCTCGTTCCAGATCCGCCCCGAACTTTGTCCCGGGGTTGACGAGTCGGGGCAGCACACCCTCGCCTGGGAGAGAAGCCTCCGGCTCCCTGGACCTGGGTCTGAGCTTTACGGTCGCCGACGATCCGCCGCCTCGACGGGGGGTTCCAGACTTCGGCGGCGCTCTAATGTTCTCGTGCCTCCCTTTTACTCCTCCGCACGATCTCAAATACATTACGGGTTAGAGATGTATCTTGGAGTCGCCGTCGGACTGGATCGGCTGAGAGATTCGCTTGAAACCCTTACTCTAAACGAGTCGAAGCCGATAAGCGCGGGCTCTCCGTGACCGAGCGCGCGCTGGGCCGCCTCGTAGTACCGCTGCCGGCCACCAGGTGGGCCAACTACCGGCGCGCCGCGTTCGCCGCAGTCGCCACTCTACCTCCGACTGCCTCGTGGGACTCAGGGAAGGCGGCTTCTACCCAGCCTCGAAGACTTCAGGATTTTTCCTCGTTCGTCCCTCCAATTCCGCGAATCACGCCTCTCTCTCTCTTCCTCTATTGTTCCTCTTCCAGGTGGGGAAAACTCGGCGCTCGTCGGCGTCACCTGGCACCGGTACAAGAAGAAACTTCCTGTACTCCCCACGAGGAAAAAGAAATGCCCCGGCCTCTTCCTTGAATTCCAAATCGGTAAGTTCGTTAATAGTACAGACTAGGCAGCTGAGTGACGTCACGGCCTGGAAAAAAGAGCCCACTGGTCGGCGCAGCACGGAGGTTATGTAAGGAGGAGCCTGCAACGTCGGCACTGGAAAGTCCTCGGTATCGAATATACATGTATATGTACGTCCGTCCTTGCAAACCGCACTTCTGGCACCTTCTCCGAAGTAATTCCGAAATTCCGCCCTCTAGGTCGGCCCAGGGTGAAGCTCGGGGAGCCTAGCCGATCGCCGTTCCAAGTACCTAGGCTCTCAGATCACTCGCTTTAACGCCTGGCCCTCCTCGGGACTTCTAAGTACAGAGAACACCTTGCAACAGTTTATTACCGACATCTTGGTGGCGGCCGACTCGGCCGATAAATCAGGAAACGTAAAAGAAAAAAATCCTCTCCCTGGAGGAGTCACCGTGGAGGCTCGCGAGGCCTATTATCACATCTAGGCGACACCGACACTCCGTACTCTGGACGGGAACGAGGACTCCCAACCGGTTGGTAGACAGCGCTCCGAATGGCTCGACGGCTGGACACCACACTGCCGGTTAATGCGCCTTCTGGGCTTATTTATTGGGAATTCCCTGCCGAGTCTCGACCGACTACTGCCACGGCGCAACGTGCTCTAATACGAGGGACCCCCCAATATGGCCACCGGACTCTCTCACTCGGGTTGCCTCCTCGCTTTTCCACGATGATCCTCCACTCCACGACACAGTGGACACTCTTCGCGGACACGATGGTGCACCCTTCGAGGACTTCGGTTTAATGGCCCCGTATCCCCACTGGCCGATCCAATTGTGAGAGCACACAGACGCGGACGAATTAGGGGAATCGCTTCGCATAGGCTGACTTGCGCACCGAGGGTCCTCGTCGAGGCCGACCAGGACGGTGCCTAGTTGCACCTGTGCCTCGGCTTTGGGTACCCGGCAAAAGTCCTACCAGGGGGAAATACTGGCTTGGGAATTGACAAGGAAGGTGTCCCAGGGCGATCTCTCCGATTTCTCATGTAATATGTTATAGTAGACTGAAATCTAAGCGACGCGTATTTTTTTTTTATCTGCCATTATACACTTTAAGGGGGTGAAACCACCATCCAAAGTAAGGCCTGTGAGGGGTAGTTCACCCCTTAACTATTTTTTTTTTTTTTAATTCAGAAAATTATATTTTTCATTTCTCGTTATGAGTCTATCGACAATATTCGCAATTGTTTAGTTGCCAACCCAATAGTTAACTAGCGAGACGAAACGTTTGGGAGGAAGGTCTCTGATAACGCGGTGATAAAAACGACGGAAACTGTAAATTTATCGCCAAGGTAAACGGAAACTGTCTAGGCGTCGAGGAAATAATTGGACGACCGTTTTTGTTTTATCTCCTTGAGATTTGTTTATATAATTTTAACAGTGAACGTTGTTTCTAGGTTCTTGCAAGGGAGGAGAAAAGAAATTCAAGGGAAATAGGAAATAATTGATTAATTTCCTAGGAGCAGAAAATATTTGTCCCATATTTTCTATATATCTAACGAATATCGTACATTTTGTAAATATTTTGCAGATATTTGAAATATTTGCATTACGTTTTCATTAAAATATTATCTTTATAATNTAGGGACGCTTGGCGTCGTCCCTAACCTCTCATCCCCACTCCAAGATCCACGCCGACGACACTTGCCGTGACTCATTTGCTTCCACTAAATTCCCCCCACCTCTGTCTCTTACTAATTACACGGCTTTTAAGTTACGACACTTGTTTTCATAGTAATTCATCGAGTCTCCAGGCATGTACGGGAAGGCACCCGCACAGAGCGCTTCTTTACCAACCGGATCTTTCTCGAGATCCCTCATTGGCTCAGTATTGAACGGGATGCCGCCGGCGCCACAGCTGCTTCTTCGTAACTCCCGTCGCTCCCCTCTTCAGTAAGGTTCGTTTGAAATAACTTGTATCCCCTCTATGTCTCTTTCCCCGCTCCACTCTTAGCACGTGCCGAGTGTCTTCGAACTTCACACCTAGAGGGACGGAATTGGCCGCTCTAGTCGGCCTACAGCCTCTTCGGCGTAACTCCAAGGTCTTCGCTATTTATATCCCGCATTGAGAGAAACTTTGGACACCAGAAAACGAGGCTTTGGACAGCTGCGTACAATTAATATAATGACCTTAGTAAAAATAACCCGCGGCTCTGCATTCCGACTGATAATTATTATCGAATGTACGTTTAATCATACTTCACGGAGAAAAAGAGCCTTAAGGTGATATGAAAGACTTGTTCTATATATCGAAATGTGAAAATATTTATTCTACTCTTCTCCTAACTGAGCGGAATATTGCGAAGAATGTGGAATACTGACCACTATACTACCGAGGAAAATTAGATATATGTGTTTCGTAGATTTGCATTTAGTGACATTACCTCTTTATTGGGAAATAGATAAGCGGACTAACGATTAGAATTTTTAAGGGATTAATTATAAGCCGAATTGTCGACGAATTCGAGAATTCATATAAAAATCCATAATTGTTATGGAGAAATATTGGGAAGAATGTGGAATACTGACCACTATACTACCGAGGAAAATTAGATGTATGTGTTTCATAGATTTGCATTTAATGACATTACCTCTTTATTGGGAAATAGATAAGCGGACTGACGATTAGAGCCTGTAAACGATTAATTATAACCCCAAATTTCGAGGAAAACATTGAATATCAAATTTACAATCGTTGTACTTGCAAAAGTCTACTGATACACGACATTAAGTGTTCAATTGCATAAATCTGTTCCAGACATGTCTTTGCACTACATATAGCATTACTTGATACTTTTCGAACAGATAAGCAAACGATGTGATGAATTGCATAATAAAGACGTCTCAAGGTCACGAATGATTGTTTAATGAATCACGTGTTCTGCCTCACTGGAAAGTCGTTACGATTAAGTCTTGGTATGTAAAAAATGACTGTTAACATTCTCTTTATTCCTTAGGCGATTATAAACCATCTCACTGAATGCGTTATGCTCGCTTTTCGCAAGTTAAGAGCTAATTATACAGTCCATGGCAAAGCTTGATATGTATTATATCGATTCGCGATGACGTCAGAAGGCCGCGAAAGATTATTTACGAGTCGTCTCTCATACGTTTTCTGAAATCCAAATCATCTTCCTTCAAATAAGTATTATTTCATTTTATTCGACCTTTGTGACTCATCGTAATTCCTGCTTGCAACATAAAAACCTATGCAATATAGAGTGGAGGTTAAGGTGATATGAAAGGGTCATTCTATATATATATAAAACGTTAAAATATTTATAAAACATTCCTTCAAATTAAGCGCATCGAATTATTTGAAACTTTTACACGTGATTATGGAGGCCCTAAGGAAGATTAAAACTAAATATGTCATTGAGATTTTCAACAAATATGTTAGATACGTTCAAGTGAAATCTACAAGGCATCTTAAAAAATCTGTCGATTGAGATATTTAGCAAAGATTACAAACAAATATGCAGAAATTATTCTATGCGAAATATTGAACAAATATTTAGAAATTATTACATGCTACTAGGGTTGATTTGGTTGCACAATGGAGAATGCAGGTTTGTACGGTTATATGTATTGCATTTCTTTTTTAATAGTTTATAAGGTAAGAAAAACCTGTTTTTTTATATTTTATGCTTGTTCTCCTGAATATGTTCTACAACGTGTTGCAAGTCAATGTTCGGCTAATCCCCTGAATCAAGAGTAATTACAGTTAATTGCAGTCGCTCGATAGCACAGTTAGTCAGATAAGTTCTCGTGTATTACCGATAATATGCAGATGTAAATATTGATTAAGATTTTTGGAAATATCAGTAAATCCTCGGAGTACATCGGCAGTATTAAGATAAGCTGCTGTGAGAAATTGCGAATTACGTGTCGGAAATGGTTAATTGACATTAAATCTTTTTATTCAACTTATAGAATATAAAACTACAGGTGTGTTCATTTTATTGTAAAGTGCAAAAATGTACTACAAGCCCCCCTAATAGCACAAAATAATTGTCTTATATTTTCTATATATTTACTAAATACCCTACGTTTTGCAAATATTTATCAGATATTTGATATATCTGCAAAACACTTTAGAATATTATTTTTATAATATTTGTACAATATTAGCTCCACGTGTCTCCCTAATATTTTGCATACATACATACATAACGTTTCCTTTCATTTTAATGTCAGTAATTTTTAAATATTACCTGCCGAACACATCATAAAGTAAACAATGTATCTTTATTATACGTTTATAAATTATTAAAGCCAAACATGTCGCAGAGACTTTCAACAAATATTTTAGATATCTTGGAGTGAAATCCACGAGACATCTTAAAAAATCTGTCGCTCGAGATATTTAGCAAAGATAAGAAAAGAAAATATTTAAAAATTATTCTGTGCTGCTAGGGCCCATTCAAATCGGTTTTCAACCACGCTGAAAAGCTGTATTTTCCCTAGCCAGTGTGAATTAATATTTAATAGAAATTTTACTGCAAAAAAGTTGAACCCTTTCAACAGGGAGCAGGGTTTAGGGACGCTTGGCGTCGTCCCTAACCTCTCATCCCCACTCCAAGATCCACGCCGACGACACTTGCCGTGACTCATTTGCTTCCACTAAATTCCCCCCACCTCTGTCTCTTACTAATTACACGGCTTTTAAGTTACGACACTTGTTTTCATAGTAATTCATCGAGTCTCCAGGCATGTACGGGAAGGCACCCGCACAGAGCGCTTCTTTACCAACCGGATCTTTCTCGAGATCCCTCATTGGCTCAGTATTGAACGGGATGCCGCCGGCGCCACAGCTGCTTCTTCGTAACTCCCGTCGCTCCCCTCTTCAGTAAGGTTCGTTTGAAATAACTTGTATCCCCTCTATGTCTCTTTCCCCGCTCCACTCTTAGCACGTGCCGAGTGTCTTCGAACTTCACACCTAGAGGGACGGAATTGGCCGCTCTAGTCGGCCTACAGCCTCTTCGGCGTAACTCCAAGGTCTTCGCTATTTATATCCCGCATTGAGAGAAACTTTGGACACCAGAAAACGAGGCTTTGGACAGCTGCGTACAATTAATATAATGACCTTAGTAAAAATAACCCGCGGCTCTGCATTCCGACTGATAATTATTATCGAATGTACGTTTAATCATACTTCACGGAGAAAAAGAGCCTTAAGGTGATATGAAAGACTTGTTCTATATATCGAAATGTGAAAATATTTATTCTACTCTTCTCCTAACTGAGCGGAATATTGCGAAGAATGTGGAATACTGACCACTATACTACCGAGGAAAATTAGATATATGTGTTTCGTAGATTTGCATTTAGTGACATTACCTCTTTATTGGGAAATAGATAAGCGGACTAACGATTAGAATTTTTAAGGGATTAATTATAAGCCGAATTGTCGACGAATTCGAGAATTCATATAAAAATCCATAATTGTTATGGAGAAATATTGGGAAGAATGTGGAATACTGACCACTATACTACCGAGGAAAATTAGATGTATGTGTTTCATAGATTTGCATTTAATGACATTACCTCTTTATTGGGAAATAGATAAGCGGACTGACGATTAGAGCCTGTAAACGATTAATTATAACCCCAAATTTCGAGGAAAACATTGAATATCAAATTTACAATCGTTGTACTTGCAAAAGTCTACTGATACACGACATTAAGTGTTCAATTGCATAAATCTGTTCCAGACATGTCTTTGCACTACATATAGCATTACTTGATACTTTTCGAACAGATAAGCAAACGATGTGATGAATTGCATAATAAAGACGTCTCAAGGTCACGAATGATTGTTTAATGAATCACGTGTTCTGCCTCACTGGAAAGTCGTTACGATTAAGTCTTGGTATGTAAAAAATGACTGTTAACATTCTCTTTATTCCTTAGGCGATTATAAACCATCTCACTGAATGCGTTATGCTCGCTTTTCGCAAGTTAAGAGCTAATTATACAGTCCATGGCAAAGCTTGATATGTATTATATCGATTCGCGATGACGTCAGAAGGCCGCGAAAGATTATTTACGAGTCGTCTCTCATACGTTTTCTGAAATCCAAATCATCTTCCTTCAAATAAGTATTATTTCATTTTATTCGACCTTTGTGACTCATCGTAATTCCTGCTTGCAACATAAAAACCTATGCAATATAGAGTGGAGGTTAAGGTGATATGAAAGGGTCATTCTATATATATATAAAACGTTAAAATATTTATAAAACATTCCTTCAAATTAAGCGCATCGAATTATTTGAAACTTTTACACGTGATTATGGAGGCCCTAAGGAAGAACGCGATACTCGTGAAATTTCATTTCTTTAACAAAAAATGTGATCTTAGTTCCAGTCTAGGATAAGTAAAAAAAAATTTTTTATGGCAAATGAAATTTCACGAGCATCGCGTTCTTCCTTAGGGCCTTATTAATCAGGTGCTGAAATTTCAAAATTATTTGGTGCACCCAGTTTGGAGAAAAGTTTAATAAATATTTTCACGTTCTATGTATATAGAATGACCCTTTCATATCACCTTAATTGCTTCAACGAGTAATAAATGAAAGGGAATTCCAGATGATTAAAAATTTTCTCCTGACATAATACCGCGCTAATTGCATGTATTGTAGACTTTTATCGTATGAGATTATATGAAATTTCGGATATCTTTCCTGGAGATTCCCTGATATCTTGGATCTCTGATAAGCTCCGTGTAGAGGTGCGGAGATAACCCAATTCTCGGTAATGTTAACAGGTTGTAAAGCGCCATTAATGAATCGACGTTTGCGAATTTTCCTGAAATTATTTTTATCTCTATAGACGTGTAGCGGCGCAAATTCCGATAAGATGAACCCTAAACTATTTTCGGCCATGCTTCATTCCGTTTAAACGCATTTTCGGGAGGTTGTTAAAAGTCATACTTAATCGTGTAAAATATCCTCCAAGCGTGAAAACAGCGATTAGATGTTAATTAAAACATATTTGTTGAAAACTACCGATTTACTCGTTTTATCAAAAATATTTCATCAATCAATCACGACTAGTGTATCAAAATATATTCGTTGGGCACTCAACCGAGTTTTTTTATGTAAACGTAAGTAAATCGTCAATGTAGGAAAATACCATTGCGGCATAAAAATCCCTTAAATCACGTTTCATCGATCAATCATATCGATTAGTATTTTAAATCCGTGAGTCAGAAAACCTTCTATTAAGCCATTGCCTAATACCAGAGATAAGGATAGAGACATATCGGATCGGCCGCCAATATAAGAGCCGATGAACCTCCGACTTCCAATTCTAATCCCATCCCAAAAAAGAAAAGCGCGAGACTCTCTACCGTCCATGATATCCATAAGATATCATAGGACAGAATCCATAAGGATAGAGACATATCGGATCAACCGCCAACAAAAGTGCCGATGATCCTCCAACTTCTAATCCTAATCCTATCACAAAAAAGAAAAGAGCAAAACTCTCTACCGCCCTTGATATTCATAGGATATTATAGGACATATCGGATAGGCCGATGAACCTCCGACTTCCAATTCTAATCCTATCCCAAAAACGAAAAGCGCAAAACTCTCTACCGCCTTTGATATCCATAGCATAGAATCCATAAAGATAGAGACATATCGGATCGGCCGCCAATAAAAGAGCCGATGAACCTCCGACTTCTAATTCTAATCCCATCCCAAAAAAGAAAAGCGCAAAACTCTCTACCGCCCTTGATATCCATAGGATACATAGGATAGAATCCATAAGGATAGACATATCGGATCGGCCGCCAATAAAAGAGCCGATGAACCTCCGACTTTCAATCCTAATCCTATCCCAAAAAGAAAAGCGCAAAACTCTCTATCGTCCATGATACTCATACGGTATCTAGGACAGAATCCATAAGGATAGAGACATATTGGATCGGCCGCCAACAAAAAAGGTGACGAACCTCAGACTTTCAATCCTAATCCTATCCCAAAAAGAAAAGCGCAAAACTCTCTATCATCCATGATACTCATACGGTATCTAGGACAGAATCCATAAGGATAGAGACATATCGGATCGACCGCCAACAAAAGTGCCGATGAATCTCCGACTTCTAATTCTAATCCCATCCCAAAAGAGAAAAGCGCAAAACTCTCTGCCGCCCTTGATATTCATAGGATATTATAGGACATATCGGATAGTCCGATGAACCTCCGACTTCCAATCCTAATCCTATCCCAAAAAAAAAGCGCAAAACTCTCTACCGCCCTTGATTTGATATTCATAGGATATTATAGGACAGAATCCATAAGGATAGAGACATATCGGATCGGCCGCCAACAAAAAAGGTGACGAACCTCCGACTTTCAATCCTAATCCTATCCCAAAAAGAAAAGCGCAAAACTCTTTACCGTCCATGATATCCATAGTGTCCAGGAAGTCGAAGAGACCGGTTCAGAAGTAGTCGAAGATCCTCCTCAGCCTCGTCATCTCGGTGGCACTTTGTTCACGAGTTTCTCGTAGTTGATCATCTCAGCTTGCGGTCGAGTTAGGGAACGTTTTCCTCTGCCATTCGAGCTACGCAGTCGGACACTGTCGGCTTTAAACTGGCCCGCGAAATCGCCTCTTTGATGGGTCAACAACTCGCGGTGCCCTTTGACTGCTCCTTATCGCCGCGGTTATTACGTTATCAGAGCGGTGGGCTAGCGGCCCATCACCACCACCGACCGCGAAGAGGCTGCGGAGTGCTTCGGAAGCCTCGAAATCGGTCCTCTTCGGTCCTAAGCTCGGTTCGAGACTGACACCTCGACGTTTACTCCTGCCGACAAATTGCCATTAGGCCACCGACTTGATAAGAGAAAGTTATCGCCACTTGCGTGGGGGAAACACTCCGACCTGCCGAGTCGGCCGAGCAACAAGTGTCCTCCTTCGGAGCGAGAGGAGCGATCTCTACGACTTATCGATTTTAATCCTCTGCTTTTCTATACCGTGGTAGGCTTTGGGATCTGCTAAATTGATCATCATCTGGGATGCAATACGAATAATGGCGATTTTTAAGGAGCGATGTTGTGTTTTCGAGTAGGGGATTTCGTGTAGATCTGTTCGTCTTTCTTCGAGTTGGATAGGGAGTTCAAATAAAGTAGTGATCAACAAAAATGCAGCAAGTGTCCTTCGGAGCGAGAGGAGCGATCTCTACGACTTGTCGATTTTAATCCTCTGCTTTTCCATACCGTGGTAGGCTTTGGAATATGAGAAATTGATCATCATCTGGGATGCAATACGAAAAAACGCGATTTTTTGGAGCGATGTTGTGTTTTCGAGTAGGAGGTTTCATGTAGATCTGTTCTTCTTTCTCCGAGTTAGATGGAGAGTGCAATTGGGGGATTGAGTGTCATAAAAAAAGTGCAAAGCGAGATTTTCACTTTGTGGTAGGCTTTGGCTGGTCGTGGCTGCTCATCATCAGAGACTGCGATTTTCTGGAGCGATGTTGTGTTTTCGAGTGGGGGTTTTCGTATAGATCTGTTCGTCTTTCTTGGAGTTGGATACGGGGTGCAAATAAAGCAGCAAATGATCATCAAATAAAGTAACTCGTGTCCTCCTTCGGAGCGAAAGGAAGAATCTGTGGGACTTATCAACGTTAATCCTGACTAATTTGAAGGAGGTTCCACTTCACCTTAAGGTGTCTTCGAATCGCTGAAATGAAAAAGGATGAGCAGTTGGCTATTCGAGGCTAGAAAAATTTCTTTGAAGAATCATGGAATGCGAACCATGAAATGACCTTGGTCACTGATGATGAGGGATCCAAGTAACTGTCTCTCCGTCGAGTCCAATTGACCAGTTGATTAAGCAATGGCCAATTGTCCCAAACCGTCTTCTCAGACACGACGGAACGGAAATTGAATGGGCAGCCAAGTTGGACTGGTTAGGACATCTTTATTCAGTTCAGTCGTCCTTTTTAGTATTCCTGGAAGCTATGAAAAATTGCACAAACACGCAGAAAGAGAAATAATTAACACTAGAACAACCGGCAGATTTTTTTTGTATAGGACGAGCCATTTGAAACAAGTCATTTTGACCCTTCTTGGTAGTTCTGGTGGTAATGAAGGCGATACCTATGAGAAATTGCACAAACACGCAGAAATATTAATATTTAAGAAAAAAAGACGATACCTATGAGAAATTGCACAAACACGCCGCAATATTAATATTACAAAAAAAAAGGCGATACCTATGAGAAATTGCACAAACACGCAGAAATATTAATATTTTAAAAAACGGCGATACCCATAAAAAATTGCACAGACACGCAAAAAGAGGAATAGTTAACACTAGAACACCGGCAAAATTTATTTGTATAAGATGAGCCATTTGAAACAAGTCATTTTGACCCTTCTTGGTAGTTCTACTGTTAAAGAAGGCGATACCTATTAGAAATTGCACAAACATGCAGAAATATTAATATTTAAAAAAAAAGGCGATACCTATTAGAAATTGCACAAACACGCAGAAATATTAATATTTAAAAAAAAGGCGATACCTATGAGAAACTGCGCAAACACGCAAAAAGAGGAATAGTTAACACTAGAACAACCGGCAGAATTTATTTGTATAGGATGAGCCATTTGAAACAAGTCATTTTGACCCTTCTTGGTAATTCTAGTGTTAAAGAAGGCGATACCTATGAGAAATTGCACAAACACGCAGAAAGAGGAATATTTACAGAAGGATCAGCTGGCTTCGACTAAAATCTGATTTACGGCGAAACGAGATGGAATTTCACATACGAAAGGTAAACGGCAGGAATGGCATTTGCAGCAAGGACCATTCTAAATTTCCCTGATTTAACTCTCTACATTCTCCCCAGGAAAAATATCAGCAGTTCCGCCTTTCACTTACAGAATTTTCTGGTCAAATGTATTTCAGCCACGAGTCCACTTAACAAATCTACCCAAATAAAACATGAAACCAAACCCTCTGAAATAAAAAAAAAGAATTAAAAGCTCAATTTAAGACCATTTCATATGTCGAGCTTGGGATAATTCGGTGCGCCCAGTTTGTAGAAAAGTTTCGTCAATATTTTCACTTTTTGTCGTGCATACATCACACTTTCATATCACCTTAATTCCCCCAAAAAATCGGGATCATAAATTCCGACGATGATGGCGATAATCGCAAAAAAGTCCCATCACGACCTGGCCCCCACGTCTGTAAACATTCCCTTTTGCGCCTGAGCGGATTATAAATAATATCTTCACTGGATAAATAATTTCTTCATGAATACTATATTTCAATTGCCAACAAGAGATATAATGGAAAACTCGGTTATAGGGTCCGTATAAATTAGCAAGGTCCAGAGCCCGAGGCTCGGAGCCAGGGCGGACTCGTGTCTTTCCTTAAATAATAAACAATAATAATGAAATATATTAGAATTTTTTTCTCTTCCTCTCCGCAGCTACTTTCCGCTGTCCCTCAGGGTCGATTGGAGAACGCTGGAGAACGCTTGCATCCCGTATTCATTTCCGCTAATTTCAGGGACCATTGTGTGTCCGTCCTTGGCGTGGTTTTTGGCGTCCAGCGTCAAAGGATCACCCGAAAACCCTTTCCCATCTTCCCCATGGTCGATCAGGCACCTTCCGAAATACCCAAGCCCCTTCAGAAGTCCTTCTTCTTGCTCTTGTCCGGAAGGACGTTGTCGTTGTAGCTTATCTCCTGACCAGCGACGGCAGGATGCAAATTGTGTGGCTCCACGTCCAGCTTCTCCTTCACCCCGGAGTCCATCACCATGGAGTGATGGGGTCCACGGTGGAGTAAAGCGGAATTGTGGTGGGCCTGTTTGTGCACCAGGGGGTGTTCCTCCTCCTGGCTGTACTTTTGCAGCATCTCCCGCAGCTTGTCCAGGTCGATCTCCTCCTCGAACTTGGAGAACAGCTCCTTAGCTCCGGACTCGTCCAGCTTTTCGGACCCTTTCAGCTGCTTGAAGAGCTGAAGGAATCTCTCGTTAGCGTGGACCCTGTCGTGGGAGTTGTTCTTAGAGGAGTTGAGGTTGGGGTTCAGCAGCAGATCCGGCGTCTCGTGGACGACGTTCACGTTCTTGTCCAGGTTCTCGTTGGCTAGCGACTGCAGTAGGGTGTTGTAGTCCGGCTTTATTCTCGAGGTCTCCATGCAGGAACTGCACGAGCAGTTCGTTATTATCTGCACCTTCTTCTGCATCGTTACCGGGTTGTTCTCTTCGTCCTTGCAGTCCAGGGTCACCTGGGGATAAGAATCGAACCGAAGGCTAAGTTAGAAAATTTCCTGGCTGGAGTAGCTTCAGAACACACATCCTCACGGATATTGTTCTGGTATTTTGACATGCGTCAAGTTGTATTCTTTAGTTACTCATCCGTAATAATTCCGGATGTTTATCCGTAACACTTACAAATATTTACTTGTAATCTCTACATATAGTTGGATGTAATCTTTACGGAACCGAGTACCGGACACTTGACTGTAACGCTGACAGAAATAATCCGCTGTTCCTGTTCTAACTGATAAAGCGGTACATTTTACACGTTTTTCTGTAAGTTTTAGAGATATTCTTTTTTTCTACGTGTACTCGGTGCTTGTAACGAAAGGGGTAAATACTTTTAGATGAAGTGCCAACAAAAAGTTCTTCACTAAAAATTGTTATCGATTTACTTAGAGGTGTCCCCAATTTCCCCTAATGAGTACTTGGCGCGGGATGCAACTTCGCAAACGCGGTCTCACGAGAATTCATTTGAAGCAATCCAAGTTTCAGGTCTCACCGTGTGCCAAGTACTGTCAAGAGATTGACAGGAATCACCGATTTACTTAGAAGTGTCCCCAACCTCCCCTAACGAGTACTTGGCGTGGGACGCAATTTCGAAGACACGGTCTCACGGAAATTCACTTAAAGCAATCCAAGTCTCAGGTCTCACCGTGTACCAGATACTGTCAATCAGTTGACAGGAATCACCGATTTACTTAGAAGTGTCCCCAATCTCCCCTAATGAGTACTTGGCGCGGGACGCACTTTTGCAAACGCGGTCTCACGGGAATTCATTTGAAGCAATCCAAGTCTCACCGTGTTCCAGATACTGTCAATCAGTTGACAGGAATCATCGATTTACTTATGTTAGAAGTGTCCCCAACCTCCCCTAATGAGTACTTGGCGTGGGACGCAATTTCGAAGACACGGTCTCACGGAAATTCACTTGAAGCAATCCAAGTCTCAGGTCTCACCGTGTGCCAGATACTGTCAATCGGTTGACATGGAACACCAATTTACTTAGAAGTGTCCCCAATCTCCCCTAATGAGTACTTGGCGCGGAACGCAACTTTTCAAACGCGGTCTCACGAGAGTTCATTTGAAGCAATCCAAGTCTCAGGTCTCATCGTGTGCCAGATGCTGTCAAGAGGTTGACAGGAATCACCAATTACTCATGATAGAAGTGTCCCCAACCTCCCATAATGAGTACTTGGCGCGAGACGCAACTTTTCAAACGCGATCTCACGAGAATTCATTTAAAGCAATCCAAGTCTCAGGTCTCACCGTGTCAAGAGGTTGACAGGAATCACCAATTACTCATGATAGAAGTGTCCCCAACCTCCCATAATGAGTACTTGGCGCGAGACGCAACTTTTCAAACGCGATCTCACGAGAATTCATTTAAAGCAATCCAAGTCTCAGGTCTCACCGTGTTCCAGATATTGTCAATCAGTTGACAGGAATCACCAATTTACTTAGAACTGTCCCCAATCTCCCCTAATGAGTACTTGGCGTGAGACGCAATTTCGAAGACACGGTCTCACGGAAATTCATTTGAAGCAATCCAAGTCTCAGGTCTCACCGTGTGCCAGATGCTGTCAATCAGTTGACAGGAATCACCGATTTACTCATGATAGAAGTGTCCCCAACCTCCCATAATGAGTACTTGGCGCGAGACGCAACTTTTCAAACGCGGTCTCACGAGAATTCATTTGAAGCAATCCAAGTCTCAGGTCTCACCGTGTGCCAGATGCTGTCAAGAGGTTGACAGGAATCACCAATTACTCATGATAGAAGTGTCCCCAACCTCCCCTTGGCGCGAGACGCAACTTTTCAAACGCGGTCTCACGAGAATTCATTTGAAGCAATCCAAGTCTCAGGTCTCACCGTGTGCCAGATGCTGTCAAGAGGTTGACAGGAATCGCAGTAAGGCCGGATCAGGTCCCCGGGTGCGGAGGGCTCGCTATGGGGAACCATGTAGGAGAAGCACGCCCCGACGCAGACGTTGTTGTCCAGCTCTTGGGAGGAACACTGAGGCCAGGTGACGACCTGCTTGATGGGTGTGGTCTTGCACCAGCTGTGCTTGTCGGGGTAGAGGACGATGTTGTGCACCTGAAGCAGACGTTCATCGTAGCCCTTGCTCAAGGATAGGGCTTCTAAGGGAGGCCCGCTAAGGGGACATCAGCTGACCTTGTGTTCCCTATGGGCCGCTATCAGGAAGGAGTTGACCACGAGCGCCGTCAGCCACACCAGAAAACCGCCGATGGTCCCCATGTTCGCTAAAAAAAAGAATCCATAACTTAAAATCGGCATATCTCACGACACCTTTGAAAGATGATCTCAGCCTCACTCTTTGTCCCATTTCATCGACGCCTCCTGGCGTCTTAAGGGGATGTGAAAGTGGCATCCGAAAGCTCAATTGTTCATAAAACTTTTCATAGAACTGGGTGTCTCAAATCGTTTCATACTTTAAAACGTGAATATGGAGACCCTAAGGTAGGTCCTGAAACTCGGGGAATTTCATTTTTTATAANCTCGCGGAATTTCTTTTTTTATAAACTGTTTTTAAAATACCTGTAAACAAATTTGAAAAGAATTGAAATTTCATGAGTTTCAGGACCTTCCTTATAGTCTCCCTATTCACGTTGTAAAGTTTCAAACTATTCGGTAAACCGAGCTGGGAGAAAAATATTATAAACAAAACCTCTTCCACGTCACTTTCACATCACCTTAAGGGGATGTGAAAGCGCCATCCGAAAGCTCAATCGTTCATAAAACTTTTCATAGAACTGGGTGTCTCAAATCGTTTCATACTTTAAAACGTGAATATGGAGACCCTAAGATAGGTCCTGAAACTCCCGAAATTTCATTTTTTATAAACTATTTTTAAAATACCTCTAAACAAATTTTAGGCATTTAGAAAAATCTTCTTTATCGACGTTAATCAAGTTCCTCGCCGTGTTTCACTTCACCTTAAGAACGTATTTCCCCGAGTTGGGTAGGGAGGGCTAATTGGAGGATTGAATGTCATTTTCGCGACAGTGCATCGCGTTGGGTAGTCCGAAGTTGAACGACCTCCGGAAATTGCGCCATACGGCCGCGAGAGTGCGCTGGCGTTGCGCGCAGCCGCAGTGCGCATCATCGGGTGACAAGGGAAGTACGACAGGGAGGAAGAGGGGGAGGCCGATCCTTTTTTGGGGCCCAATCGAGGAATCCAATCTGCGCGTCCTGGATCCTCTTTCCCTCGGCCCCTCTCGCGAGCGGTGGATTCCCGACAGGAGGAATCTCGTCTCCCGATTCCTCGGCGGATACGCCGGGCAATTGGTCCTTGGTATTTCCAGGACGAAACCCGAGTTTTCGCCCCCCTCGGCCCTCTGCGTTTCAATTCCCCCCTCGCTCTCGCCCCGAGACTCTTTATTCTCGCGCGGGATCTCCGATCTTCCGTTTCTTATTTCGAGTTCCGAGAAGCCGACAGGACGACTCAGGGCTGTGCGACATCCGAGGCGAAAGGGACGCCAGCCTCGAATTTAGGAAATTTTTTACCACAAATTCTGGATCCTTCCAAAAATTACAGGAGATATGATTTTATAGCGATATTTCTTTGAAGATAATGGTAATATAATATCTATCGAATTGAAGTGACGATATTTGGCGTTAAGTATTCGATGACATTTTGGACCAAAATTCTGGATCGTTTCAAAAATTCCAGGAGATATGATTTTATGGCGATATTTATTTGAAGATAATGGACAAAAATATTTATCGAATTGAAGTGCCGAAATTAGACGATAAGTATTTGGTGAAATTTTGGACCGTGCCGCCAGACTTGAATTTATGAAATTTTTCACCACAAATTCTGGATCCTTCCAAAATTTACAGGAGATACGATTTTATAGCGATATTTCTTTGAAGGTAATGGTAATATAATATCTATCGAATTGATGTGACGAAATTTGGCGATAAGTATTTGGTGAAATTTTGGACCGTGCCGCCAGGCTCGAATTTATGAAATTTTGGACTAAAATTTTGGATCCTTCCAAAAATTACAGGAGATACGATTTTATAGCGATATTTCTTTGAAGATAATGGTAAAATAATATTTATCGAATTGAAGTGACGAAATCGGATCGATAGAGTGATAAAATTCTGGATCGTTCCAAAAATTCCAGGAGATATGATTTTACAGCGATATTTCTTTGAAGATAATGGACAAAAATATTTATCGAATTGAAGTGCCGAAATTTGACGTTAAGTATTCGGTGCCGTTCGCACGTTCTTTTAAATGCATTTGGTGCGAAACTCTACCGAGTTTCCTGATGCTCTAATAAATTAACAATTAAATTTTCACTCCGAGACTTCGTATTCCCATCGTTTTAGCATAACAGGGAAAAGACACTTTTTTGCCTTTATCCCGTTCAAATGCGAAGTCGCACTCTTTTAATAAAATGTCTCACTTTATAAATGACTTGACAATTCTTTAAAATCCTATACGTATAACAAAGAAATCAGAAACGTATGCTTCCATCAAAACGGTCAATAAGTATCGAGGCTTCGGACGTGTACTTTTATTTCGTTACTTTCCGGAATGAATAAAACAAAGTCTTTTGTTCATTATATTCCAGTTAAGCATGCATTATGCATCAGCTGTACCGTCCGCGCATGCGCGCATGGGGATTTCAACGGCCGCATAAGACATGCCACGGGCGTATCGCCAGCGTAAACGGAAAAATTCCTTCCTTTCTCAAATGCTATTAAAGTATTCCTCCATTAATTTTGATGCATGTTATTTGCCCTTTATTGAGTGCGCCTAAGATTCCCTCGGGGAAGAATCCCTTTGGAAACGCCCTATATATCTCGCACAGACAGGATGTGGCGCCCCTGGTACTCCTCCCACGTACGAGTGGAGATTTGAATGACTGCACAGGCCATGTCAGGGCCGTTCAGATTTATTCCCTCCTCCAAAATTAATGTCGATACCTTTCTACGCGTTTTTATAAAATATATATTTCATAAAAAACCCTCAAAAGGCGTCGAAAGAACCCGATACTCCTTCCACGTACGAGTGGAGATTTGAATGATTGCACAGGCCATGTCAGGGCCGTTCAGATTTATTCCCTTCCCCAAAATTAACGTCGATACCTTTCTGCGCGTTTTCATAAAACATAAATTTCATCAAAAACCCTCGAAAGGCGTCGAAAGAACCCGATACTCCTTCCACGTACGAGTGGAGATTTGAATGATTGCACAGGCCATGTCAGGGCCGTTCAGATTTATTCCCTTCCCAAAAATTAATGTCGATGCCTTCCTACGAGTTTTCGCGATTTCATAAAATATATATTTCATCGAAAACTCTTAAATGGCGTCGAAAAAAACCTGATACTCCTCACAGGTACGAGTGGAGATTTGAATGATTGCACAGGCCATGTCAGGACCTTTCAGATTTATTCCCTTCTCCAAAATTAATGTCAATACCTTTCCAGTGTTATGTAATTGTAACATTAGGTATTACATGACGAATTATACCTACCCAGTACATAATTTGACGACGTTACATGATATTAATGTATCTTGAATAACATTCGTTATATATCATGTTATTTGTTACGTTAACATTATATACCTGCAATGCTTCCAAGTTTATAACAATATCACCGAACGTCATAATTCGACGTTACATGATATTAATATATCTTTTAAATAACATTCGTTATATATCATGTTATTCCAGTGTTATGTAATTATAACATAGGGTGTTTGGTGGGTATATTACATGACGTATTATACCTACCCAACCACGTATACTACATGACTTATCATTACCATACCCTGATTTCTCCTACCCTCGGTTCGCGACGGTGGCGACACTGGTCGCGAGGCGGTACGGCCCTGAAACCGCAGCCAGAAGTCCAAAGCTCTTTGTTGCTGTGTGCGTGTGTGTGCGCCACCTTCTCTTCTCGCCTCCGGCCGGGGGCGAGCCGGACCTCCGGCCAGTCCGGGCCTCGATTTGCTCGTGTTCCCGGCCGGGAGAGGACTGCGCCCAGCCGCGAGATTAATTTGATTTTCAAGCAAATTTGACGCGGCCCGGAGCCGCGGGACACCACAAAAGGCGCCCGCTAATCCGAGAGGTGCCCGCTCCTCTTAGCGGCCGCCATCGCCGCCATCGCCGCCATCGGCGACGCCGACGCCGACGCCGGCTTCGGGCCCATGGCTCTGGGAAGAAAGAGATGGGGGGCATAGCTGCGCGGGTGGAGTTACGAAGAGGTGGCGGCCATCTTTCTTTCCTAGCGTTCCCTAGTAAGGTATCTCAACCTGTTAAGGGGATGTGAAACCCCCCTCAAATCAGTCGATTCGAATGGAACACTTTTTTTTTTTAAGGATATTACACACCTTAAGGTAAAGTGAAACCCCCCTCAAATCAGTCGATTGGAATACAACACTTTTTTTTTAAGGATATTACACACCTTAAGGTAAAGTGAAACCCCCCTCAAATCAGTCGATTCGAATGGAACACTTTTTTTTTAAACATATTACACACCTTAAGGTGAAGTGAAACACCCCTCAAATCAGTCGATTTTAATACAACACTTTTTTTTAAGGGTATTAGACCAAACTGTCCGAAACTTTGACACATCCTGATCATCTAAGAATTGTCCTGACACAGTCAAAATTTGGATTTTTTAACAAAATTTTTTAACTCAGCCCAGACCAGAATCAAAATGGCGTCGAGCTCTCATATTTCGATCGATATACAATTATCGAAGGCTCTGATATGAGAATCGAAAGGGTCGGGACAATTTTACGACAATTTAGAACACTCTGGTAGTCGATAAACTCGCATTTGAACGGGATAAAGGTAAAAAAAGTGTTGTATGCGCTTCTATGTTAAAACGATGGGAATAGGAGGTCTCGGAGTGAACATTTAATTGACCTGGAAGTTAGAGATGGCGCAGGGGGTCCCTCTGCAGTCAATTAGGGCCTCGGAAACCACGAATCCAGGGGATTTCTGGAGTTTTACTTAAATTTCTTTATAATTATTGTACGAAAACGACAGGTGGAGTATGCCATTTGGAACAATCCTCTGGATTCATGCTTTCTGAGGCCCTAACTGACTGCAGAGGGACCCCCTGCGCCATCTGTGATTTCCAGGTCAATTAAATTTTCCCTCCGAGACCTCATATTCCCATCATTTTGGCATAGAAGCGCATACAACACTTTTTTTGCCTTTATCCCGTTCAAATGCGAGTTTATCGATTACCAGAGTGTTCTAAATTGTCATAAA